AATTGAACATTATGGTGATGAAGGTTTTATAAAATAAAAAATATTTTTTTATTGCTGACTGTTGTTGCATTTTGTTTTTGCAATTTGTTGTTCTTGGAGCATTTGTTGGATGAGGTTGTGTTCTTGTAATTACAATAGCTTCTCACGGAGTTGCATCTTCAATCTGAAACTTTTGCGATCATTTGACAAGCTACTATAGGACAATAAAAGTTTTACAGGACACAAGTTTGCGTTAAGTAATAGGTCAACGTTATATGGCCAAGTGTTTGAGAGTTCACCGTAGGTTGAAGATTCTGGCTGTCGAATGAACTATAGGCAGAACCGCAGAGAAAGTATTGTTTATCAGCGCATAAAGGTTATTGTATGTTGTATAATGAGTTATCTGTGTACGATATAAAAGGATCACGAGGTGTTAAAATGAGAAACTTTACTTGAGAGCCTTAGAGCGAATATCATATACACACATTGTACAATGTAATTACTTAATACCGGAACATTTTCGGCAACTAATCAGGTTATATGTTTACCACGGGATTTACATATAACATATGACTAAAAACAAATTAATTCTGTTTACTACCAACAGTTTCCTAAACAGGGAAAAGGTGTCATACAAGGAATTCTATTCCTATGACATTAACACAACAATCTATATATCAAACTGGTTAAAGTGATTCGAATCGTACAAAACTTAGACCAAAATGATACGTATACTATAACAATACTTACTCTGCGTTGCTATTGTCATTCGAATTCAGAATTTTCAACCTTATGAACTCAAACACTTGGCAAGTAACTGTTGACATTATTTGACGCAAACTTGTTCCGTAAACTTTTATGCCTATGTATTCAATGACGGCAGAAAAGTTCGAATGAGGAAGCAAAGGTGAAAGTATTGTATTAAAGCACCAACCAAATTCAAAAACAATCAAACAAAATGCAACAAATCAAACATCAGAAAAAAAAAATATTTTTTTTATTTTTATAAAAATGTACAGAATAGATGTTTCAGATTTTTATGACTTCCAAGCATTCAGAAATATGTGTCCATTTCGAGACTATAACAAAGCAGTCGAGAATTGAAACGTTTAGTCATTTATGTCGACTCTGCCCAGAATGTTATGTTATAAAGAATGGGATGTAGTCTTTAACAAACCTAAAGCGACAATAGTTTCAGAACAAGAATGTAGACAGAAACTTAAGAAAATAAAAGTTGTACAAGTTGGCATGAAGATGTTAGATGCTTGGGATATCTTATTGTCAAAGTTAGAAGATTTTTCAGTTCGAGGTATAAAAGTTCTATACACTTCTCCAAACTTCTATTCTATCTTCACTGGATATAAATACGAACAAGTAGAATGGAAAGAAAATGTTATAAAGAAGCTTGGTTAGACATGTCAAGAAATTATATGCAATGGAAACGAAAGAGTCTATGAGTATATCTTATGTTGGTTTGCAAACATCTTACAACATCCAAGTGCTAAAAATGAAACTGCTCTCATTATAGATAAACAAGGAAAACAAGGAACAGGTAAGAACACATTCTTTACAGATATTTTGTGCAAACTGTTAGAAGGTTATTCGAATCCGAATATGACAAACTTAGAAAACATCTGTGGCAAGTTTAACTCCTCAATAGAGAATATGAAACTTATAGTTTGCAATGAACTTCAAAGTATAGATACAACAAAAGTTTTGAACTCAGATGCTTTGAAGAGTCTTATAACAGACAAAGTTGGAGTTGTTGAAAGAAAATATAAAGACCAAAGAGTTTGTGAAAATGTTGCAAACTTCATTATGGTTTCAAACAATACTGTTCCGATGAAGTTAGAAAGTTCTGACAGAAGATATGTAGTTGTCAGAACGTCAGATTCTCATATGCAAGATACAGAATATTTGACGACTTAGCAGAAACTTTGACATCTGACTTTTACAACCACTTGTTCTCATATTTTATGACATTAGATATTTCTAAGTTCAATCCAAGACAAATTCCATATACCGAAGAGAGACAAACATTGTTAGAAGCAAACAAGAGTGTATATGAACTGTTCATAGAAGAAAGCGACTTTGAGTGTTTAGATGAAAGGTCATTGTACGATGAATATAAACAATATTGTCAAGAATATGGTTATATGGCAGCTTCTAAACGTACATTCTTGGCAAATGTCAAAAATCTTTTAGATGTTCAGAACGGCGTATATACAAAGAAAAATTTTCTGAGTAAATTTTAAAACAGTATTTTCAGTATTTTTTATTTTATTTGAAATGTACGCTGAGTTTGTTGGAAAAGACTGTTGGAAAACTTGTTTGTTAGATGAGAAATATGAAATTCACTGTTGTGAGTCATTTGAAGTCAGAAACAAAAAGACAAAAAGAGTTTTAAGCGAATGGGAGCGAAATGACGGATATACTACTATGAAGATGAGTGGAAAACACTATTTTAAACATATTGTCATTGCAACTCATTTTATACCGAACCCTAACAATCTACCTCTTGTAGACCATATAAACCATATAAGAAACGACAATAGACTTGAGAACTTGCGTTGGGTCACATGTTCTGAAAACAATAAGAACATAGGCAAATTTCGAGATATTGTATTCGAATTTGTCGACGAACTAGAAGATGAAGCAATTGAAATTACAGACTATGGTAAGCATACGTTTGAGTTTTACTACTACAGCGAAGAACAAGACTCTTTCTACTTTTATACCGGCGTAAACTATAGGAAATTACAAGTATATTTTACTAAGGATGGCTGTGCTCATGTAAACGCTAGAGATACAGATGGAAAATGCGTTAGACTATTTCTTAACAAATTCAAGAAGCTATATGGCATACCATTTTAAAACGTTTTTTATAAAAAAAATCTTTTTTTATCCGATAGAAAAGATGGCAAAATTCATCTCAGTAAATAAGTACATGACAGAAGTCAAAGATAAGTTAGCTCCATTCGCATATTTGAATGTTTACTTCTACAATTTTGAAAAGTCTACATTTGACAAAATTTGGAACATTGCACCAGTTAAGTTTGCTGTTGTTAGAAAAAGTGGTGCAACTTTTGAAGACTTATACATTGACGGTATGTTGACAGTCAAAGAAAATTTTGACAGAAAGTTCTCAAAACTCGAAGAAGGTAAAGCATACAAACTTGTTATACCTTATGAACCAAAGAAGACAGACGACTATGAATATTATGAGTCTAAGATAGTTGAAGTTCAAGGTAAGTTGGGTAAAAAGATTTTAGAGTCTAAGCCAGTGTTTGCTCCTAAAGAGGAAGAGAACATTGACATTGACCCAGAAATGTTCTAAAAATAAAATTTTATTTTTACATGTCAAATTTCTTTTTCTCTGGTTCAGGTTCTTTCTTCTCTTCTTCTACTTTCTTTTCTTTCTTTTCTCTCTTCTTCTTCTTTCTGGTGGAGTTATGTCAAATTTGGCGCAACCATATTTATGTAAAAGTTCTTTTGTCCTTTAATAGCTCTTCTATTCTGTTTTCTATTTCATCTTCAAGAACAGCGCATGTGTCTTCTTTGCATTCTAAGAACTTTTGTTGGACTTCATCTTTCCAATCGGCTCATCTCTGTCAACAAGTCTGTCATTGACAAATTTTAAGACTTCTCTGCTTAATGTTTTATGGTTCTTGTCATATTCCAGAAACAGAACTTTAGAACAAATTCACCTTTCTTGTTTACACTATGTAAGATTTTATGGTCTACAGATGTTTTGCTGTCGAAAAGCTTGTCTCGAATATAGATAGCGAAATCGCTAGACATTTCCTAAAAGATAAAATTTTTAATTTTTCTAAAAATATGTTAGAAAAAAAAGTTTGCTGACATTGACAAGAAATTTGAGAATGTTTTAAACAAGAACAAGAGGAAGTTAGAAAATGCTCAGATAAAACCCATACATGACAAGTTCCTATTTGCTCAGAATGGTATAACAGGTCTAATCGCACCACCTGGGTCGGGTAAGACTTTCACTTATCTTAAAATGGCTGCACAACAACAAGAACTAGATGAGAAGAACCCATTCTATGAGTTAGTTGTTATTTGTAGTACTTCTGGTCAATTTGACCAAACCGTCAATTCGTTCAAAGATATTATAAAAAAGTCTAAGTTAGTATGTATAAAAGACTCTGAGTTGTTAGATTGGATAAAGAAGTACCAAAGAAGAGTTTTGAAGTACAATGCTATAAATGAGTATATAAATTCTAAGTTTAAAGACCCAAATGAGGAAATGCAGAGAATATTAGAGAAGAAACACTTCAGAAACAAACAGAAAGAGATAGAATACATTTCGAAGAAATTGCAATCTTACGATTGGAAGACTTACCCTCATAGATGTCTTCTTATCTTAGATGACTTTGCTTCTCATCCTTTGTTAAAGAATAGAGAACAAGACATGTGTCGAATTCTTAGAAGCTCAGACACTTTAACATCTCAGTTGTCATTTGTGTACAGACAGCAAAGAGTTTAAGTAAGGATGTAAAGAGAATACTTACTGACATTATACTTTTCCCCGGATTGTCCGAAGACGATTTCATGGAACTTATGAAAGAGTCCATGGCAGGTAAGTTTGACAGACATGAACTATGGGAGAAGTATAAAGTCATACAAGACCCTCATACTTCTTTCAGAATTCATATCTACGCAAACAAAGTTCAAATTGTAAAAAGTCAAGCTTGAAAAATGTAAGTGTTTAGTCTTAGTAAGTAAGTCTGTTGTGGTGCTGGGGCTGTCGGTTCTTCTGGCTTTGGAAGGCATTCAGGAAGAGGAACGTCAGTCATCCGTTTGTGTCCTGTCGGAAGGAAAAACTTTTTCTGTCGGAAGGAAAAACTTTTTCTGTCGGAAGGAAAAACTTTTTCTGTCGGAAGGAAGAACTTTTCTTGTCGGATGGAAGGACTCGGAATGCCAGAAGGATTTGACAAGACAATTTACTTTATAGAGCTACCTGAGCCATCTTTGGTGTCAAGCTTGAAAAATAAATGGTTCATCTACCCTGCTTGTTTGAAGTTGTCAAAATACTCTGTTATTTTTTCTTTCAGTAGCGGTAAGTCTTCTTTGAAGGTAAGTATTGTACAACCTTTCATATCATAGTGTGTTTGAGGTAACGTATCTTGAACTATTTGTTTCACATCTTCATTCGGTGTCATTGAAATCGGTAAGTTTTCGCGATAGAACCAATTTCTGTCAGATTTGTAAATCTTAGCAAGGTCGTAAAAGCTTTTGTTGTTTCTTCTGACTAAATGCAACATAACCATATCTCTGTCTTCTTCATTTTCCATCTCTTCAGTATAAATCATATACTTATAGTTCTTTTCCTTTCCTTTTGGTACCGAACGTGGTATTCTTTTCTGTATGTTTTTGTCTTCTTTCATCATATCTTCTCTCTGCTTTGTACAAAGTTCGTCAAGTAGCATAAGTATGTAGATTGCATAACGAGGTGAAGCCCACATTGCTATTGAACTAACTAGGAACTTATGAACATATATACCTTTTAGATGTGATGGTAAGTTTTGTCTGTCTTGGTACATCTTTTTAAGTTCTACATGTTCAAACTCACTGAGGAGTTCATGAGTGCTATTTAATTCAAACCAGTCTTTAGGAAGCTTAGTATCTGGAGCAAAACATGCTGTCAAAATACTTTGCATTTGGTACATATCGTCTTTGACCGAACGAATGAGACGGAGTTGTTTGTTAAACTGAACCCACTCATATTCTTCATTTATAGCTTCATGGACTATAACTGTTGTTGTGTTCTCTGTTGTTGACATATCTGTCTTTACATACAAAATAAAAAAATAAATAAAAATAAAACTAACTTTATTTTTTCTATCTTAAGGAAATTCATGATTTTTGTTGCTGAATTCAATAAAAATAATGTTTAGGTGAAGAGGTGAGATGTCACCTGTTTTCTCACCTCTTGAATTTTCATGATTTCATCGTAAATGTTTTGTCAAGACTTCTTCGTAAATGTTTTGTCAAGACTTCTTCGTAAATGTTTTGTCAAGACTTCATCGTAATGAGCGTAAATCAGACAAAAATAATGTTTAGGTGAAGAGGTGACATCTCACCCGTTTTCTCACCTCTTTTCTCACCTCTTGAATTTTCATGATTTCTTCGTATATGTTTTGTCAAGACTTCTTCGTATATGCTTTGTCAAGACTTCTTCGTAAATGTTTTGTCAAGACTTCATCGTAATGAGCGTAAATCAGACAAAAATAATGTTTAGGTGAAGAGGTGACATCTCACCTGTTTTCTCACCTGTTTTCTCACCCAAGTTATTTTTTAAATTTTGTGAAAACTCAACGGTTTGACACATGCCTAAAAATTATTTTACTCAGAATTTTGTTGCTGAATTCAGCAAAAAATAATGTTTAGGTGAAGAGGTGACATCTCACCCGTTTTCTCACCTCTTTTCTCACCCTAGTTATTTTATAAGCGTTTTACATGAATTGTACGATGTATATTTGAAATCCTAAACAGTTTTGTAGCTTCTATTTCTTCTGTCAGTACATCGAATGTTTTAACGATACCGAAAGTTTCTTTATACTTCTTCTTGACGTCAGATAATAGGAAATCTTCTGCTGTTGGATAGTTTTTGTTCAGAAATGCTAACATATCCATTTTATTTTCTGCTGGTTTTTCTGCTTCTTTCTTTAAGTCTGCATAGTCGTTTCGCATACGTTCTATCTCTTTGACGGAGTAGTTATATTTCCTCATTGCTGCTTTACATTTAGAACATTGTGGGTTCATTTTTGCGTTATATTCTGAAACCTTACCTGCTAAAACAACTAAAGCGTCAATTGCTCTCTTCATCTCAAACATAGCGGGTCTTATTTGTTCATTCCATACCTTACCTCTTCTATCTTTATCTCTTATCTGCCATACACATTCAGCAACTAACGAAACAAAGTTGTCGTAGGTCTTAAATTCTTCAGATTTATATATGTCAGAAACATTCTTATATACCATGTCGCAATCTTTGTCCATAACTTTATGGTTGCAATGAAAACCAAGGAATTCATAATTTACTTTCGTATGAACTTCTTTATTTCTACTGAGTCAGTTGGTTTCACTTCAATTTCGTCAAATTCGGAATGGAGTTTTTGCTGCTGAATTTCAGGCAATTTGGCAAATGGTCATGAGTCCTGCATTTCATAAAGATATTACTTCATTTTTTCATCTTTCGCACAACAGTCCAAAGTACTTGTTAAAAGTTCTTGCTTTATCTTCTGGATTTCTGTTTCAAAAGTATATGAAGAAGGAATGAAGCTTTTCATTTCTACTAACATAGATGTTGGATTCATGACTAACGAGTTTGGTGCTGTTGTTTGAATTGTTGTTGTGCCGATTGTTGAAATCATATCTTTTATACAAAATAAAAAAATAAATAAAATAAAACTAACTTTATTTTTTATTTCGGGAAAATTCATGAGGTGAGAAAAGAGGTGAGAAAACGGGTGAGATGTCACCTCTTCACCTAAAATATATTTTTGGGTCATTTACACTCATTACGAAGAAGTCTTGACAAAACATTTACGATGAAGAAGTTTCGACAAAACATTTACGAAGAAGAAGTTTCGACAAAACATTTACGATGAAGAAGTTTCGACAAAACATTTACGATGAAATTCATGAAAATTCATGAGGTGAGAAAAGAGGTGAGAAAACGGGTGAGATGTCACCTCTTCACCTAAACATTATTTTTACTGAATTTAGCAACAACTTTCTCTCAATTGGAGCTGTAGCATACTCTTTGCGTAAGCGGTTCAGACCTTCTTCGAACTCTTGGTCTCTCTTCGATGTGGATTGAGATTGGTAGTAATTTGGATTGAGATTGGAATTGCTGGAACAACCAAGGGTTGGAGCTGTAGCATACTCTTTGCGTAAGCGGTTCAGACCTTCTTCGAACTCTTGGTCTCTCTTCGATTTGTATTGGAATTGGTAGTAATTTGGTGGAGGGACTTGCTGGAACTGAGGTGCAGGGGCTGGTGCTTTAGGTTCCTCTGGTTTGGGAATGGACTCAGTTGGTGGGACGTCGGACATTCGTTTGTGGCTTAACCGTCGGACATCCGTTTGTGTCCTGTCGGAAGGAAGAACTTTTCCTGTCGGACATCCGTTTGTGTCCTGTCGGAAGGAAGAACTTTTCCTGTCGGACATCCGTTTGTGTCCTGTCGGAAGGAAGAACTTTTTCTGTCGGAAGGAAGAACTTTTCCTGAAGTTCGACAGGAAAAGTTCTCAATTTTCGAAAATTTGAATGGTTTACGGACGGACAACTGGAAGAACTTTTCCTGTCGGAAGGAAGAACTTTTCCTGTCGGAAGGAAGAACTTTTCCTGTCTGATGGAAGGACTTTTCCTGTCTGATGGAAGAACTTTTCCTGTCTGATGGAAGGACTTTTCCTGTCAGTAGCAGTACTGCTAGTAGCAGAGATTTTTATCGTCCAACTTTACAAATGTAAACTCCTATCGTTCTATTTTCTTCACTAGGGTCTAACACCAAAGTAACCTTACAAATGTAAACTTATATCGTTCTATTTTCTTCACTAGGGTCTAACACCAAAGTAACCTATGTACATGAAATTTCACTGCATAAAAGGAAAAAACCTGCGCGAATCGGGATTTGAACCGAGGTCTTCGACGCCTTTAACGAGGTAGCCCATACCACTGAGCTATGAGCCGCTTACATATTCACAAAAATAAATTGTTTTCATGAGTTTTCTACGATGTTAGAAAAAATGTTATTTTCTAATATCTTCACATTCAATACTTTTTCAGCACTTTTCCGTAGTTATATATGAAAGACAATTCGAGATAAAAGTCATAGTACAATGGAATAATATGTTGCACACCATTTGTTGTGAACCAAACTTGAAAGTCAGAGAAACTGTTACTAGGTGGTTCGTAGAATTTAGAAGCAAAGTCATAAAAGTCCTTAAATACATAGAAAACTATTGTTGCTTGAACTGAAACTTGCATGACACATAACATTTTGAGGGTCAAACACGTTTCTATAAACTGTCAAATCTGCTGGTGGAAGTATAAATTTAAATGGACCATCTGGTGGTAATGGTTCGTTTCTGGTTTAGTAACCGAAGAAATTGTGCCCAAGAACGTTTGTCTACTTCCCAAAATAAAAACTGTGTATCTCTTGGAGGGTTAATTTCAATCTTTGAAATGAAACGGTGGAGTTCATCTTGTCATATTCTAGTTTCAGATAGTATGTTCCATTTAGTAAAGAGTCGTATTTTTCTTGAAATTCCCAATAATATTTGTTCATTTGAGTTTGAAAGTCATTTAGAGTTTTCTCAAGACTTTCGTCTGAACGAACTGTAAGATTCTCATTTCGTCAAATTTGTCTATTAGACCATCAGAACCTTTATACTGCCCATGAAAATATACTGCGAACATAAATGCGTTAGTTCTTTTTGAAAACAAAACTCTTCTAAATCCTATTGTTTGCATCTGAAGGACTTTGAAGCCAACGAATTGGATAGTCAACCTGTATGTTCGGGATGAAATTTCTTCATCTGATATTGTCCTACCAGCATTTGTAAAGATATAGTCTAACGGTTTTGTATCTGCTACTTTTGTTCTTTGTTTTTCACCTGAAGCATTTAATATATGTAAAAATATATTGTTTTAAAATAGTATGCCATATAGCTTCTTGAATTTGTTAAGAAGTATTTGAACGTTTTTTCCATCTGTATCTCTAGTGTTTACAAAGCATAGCCCGCCTTAGTAAAATATACTTGTAATTTCCTATAGTTTACGCCGGTATAAAAGTAGAAAGAGTCTTGTTCTTCGCTATAGTAGTAAAACTCAACGTATGCTTGCCATAGTCTGTAATTTCAATTGTTTCATCGTCTAGTTCGTCGACAAATTCGAATACAATATCTCCAAATTTGCCTTTGTTCTTATTGTTTTCAGAACAAGTGACCCAACGTAAGTTTCAAGTCTATTGTCGCTTCTTATACGGTTTATATGGTCTACAAAAGGTAAATTGTTAGGGTTCGGTATAAAATGAGTTGCAATGACAACATGTTTAAAATAGTTTTTTTCCACTCATCTTCATAAGAGCATATCCGTCATTTCCCTCCCATCCGCTTAAAACTCTTTTTGTCTTTTTGTTTCTGACTTCAAATGACTCACAACAGTGAATTTCATATTTCTCATCTAACAAACAAGTTTCCCAACGGTCTGTTCCAACAAACTCAGCGTACATTTCAAATAAAATAAAAAAATATTTTTTTTTAAAATATGTTGTTTTAAATGGTATGCCATTTCATATTTCATCGTCTAACAAACAAGTTTCCCAACGGTCTTTTCCAACAAACTCAGCGTACAGTTCAAATAAAAATAAAAAATATACTGTTTTAAAAATTTTTTTCTTTTACTTTTACATAACCTCCTGCTACCAGAAGTCTTTGACGCCAACCCATACCAGCTAATGAAGGTTGAGTTGGTTTAGTTTGGAAACTAAACTTTGGTTTTGGTTTATCTCAGTTTTTGGTTTTTCTTCTTCTATCGGTTTTTCGTCACTTTTCGGTTCCTCTGACTTTACCTCACTTGCAGGTATGGTTGTGTCGTCAACATCTTCGTAATATCATATGCCATTTGTTTTTGTTTTCCTTTCAACTTTTTGTGTTTGTTGTAAAGTTTAGAATATTTCGACTCTAAGTCAATGAGATGTTCTATAATGAACTGTTGGTCAGTGAAGTAAACTTTTCCATCTGTTGTCTCGAAAGCTCCTTCAGACTTCAATATTTTATTTGTGAGAGTCTGTTTCTTTTTTGAGATACTAGCCGTTCCATTTCTATGAAAAGTGACTTTATAGTTAGGGTTTGTATTTCCAGACCTGGCACTTTCTATTATTGAATTTTTCTCTTCATCTGTAAGTTCTTTGACAGGTTTTGACAATGGTTCTGAACTTTTTGTTTGTGGTGTCAAATCTACCGTTTCAACTTCTTCGGTCATTTCATCTCAGTAAAAATTTTAGTTTGGTTTGTTTTCAACTGGTTGTTTAGGTTTTTTAAGTCGGTCTAAAACTTCCTGAGGTATAGGAAGAACTTGACAAACACGTGGTGTAACTGCTGGAAGTCGACAAATCCATCTTGAACCCATTTGTCTCAATGCTGTATTGTTCATTTCATCTCAGTAAAAAACTTTACATTCCCCACGTTTGAGGCGGTTGAGGTTGGTTATTGTTTACCCATTGTTGTGCATGGTTATATCCTCTGTTAAAGAATCTTTCACCTTGGTCCATATAGTGTCCTGCTTGGTTATAGTAGTCATTTGCTTTGTTATAATAGTTTCCTGCTTGTCTTCCTACATTGTCCATCCATCCTTGAACTTTTCCTCTTGTTTCAGGATTTGGAATAAGATTTGCTGCATCTCGTGCTACATCCCAACCTTTCTGTACAGTTTGTATAATAGGTTGTGCTTTCTCTTTAAGTATACCTAATGTACTCAAAATCTTCCTTCCAACTCCAAATACACCTCTGGCTATTGTTCCCACTGCGGGCAAAAATCTGGATGCAACTCCTGCTAATGCGCCAAATAAACCCATTTCTTATAGGGTAAAAAATGACGAATCCGAACAAGGACCCCTATGTTTCTAAAGCGACAAAGAAAGCACTCATGATAAAAATCTTTAGTTCAACACCAAATGCTTGGTTTATGGATATCTTGGAAAACATTCCGAGAGTTAGAACAGATGGACCACCATACTGGCTAATATTTGTTGGTCAAAACACAAGATACTGTGAAGCCATACCATTACAGTCCAAAAATATTTTAGATGTGAAAACTGCTTTGACAATATTCGTTGACAAATACCATCCAACAAAACTGACATCCGACTGTGAAAGTTCTTTCAAATCAGACGATATTAAAAACTATCTGCGTTCAAAAAATGTAAACCAATATTTCATTGTCGACCAAAACCATTCTGCTCTTGGTGTCATTGACGGTTGTATAAAAATGTTAAGAGACTTAAACCAACCACAAGGTGGTGAAGCAAATGAAATGTCATATGACGACAAGTATAGACACTTCTCCATGGCAAAGATGAGACAAGTTTTAAATATTTACAATAGCCGTAAACAAAAAGGTTTGGGAAACCACTCCCCGAAGAAATGAAAAACAACCCTGACTTAGAGAAAGACTATATATTTAATAATTTAGTCAAAAGAGACAAACAAGAAAGAATGCCGGGCTTCAAACTTCAGAAAGGCGACAAAGTAAAAATAGAAATACCTAAACGCGACCCATATGAAATACTATTGACTATGACAACAATGGGAACCCGACAGGTACTCACATTCGTGTTCGTAAAAATAGAAGAAAGTATACAAGAGAATATTATGAAGTTTTAGGCAAACATGGCAAAATGTACACACTGCAAGCAGAAGATAAAACTACTATTGTCAGACCTCGTTTCAAACTTGTCAAAGTTCAAGGTGGTATACTTTCAAAGACAGTTCCTAACAAATATAAGACAACTCCTGACGAATATGCTAAAGAAGTTGAAAATGACGACTAAGCATTTCTATACCATGCGTAAACTGTCATGTAAGGTGGCATGTAGTCTTTACTTTGTCCCGTTGTTTGCGTATATCCCGAAACGCGATGTGTATGGTTTCCATCTCCCTGAGTGTTACCCCAGAAACAATTTATAGCAAACTGAACTTCGTCTTTAACATCATATCCTTTACCTTTTGTCATTGCTGACCAATCCCAATATCTATGCTTATGCCAACCTGCTTGAGATGTACTTAAATCTATGTAGTGACTGTGTGCAGGTAAGTTTTCACCTGAAATCGTTTTACTTCCACCTGTTTCCTTTGAAGAGTTTGCACAATACAAAAACCTGTCGACTATTTGAGTCCAAGTTCCAAAACCCAGAACTGTTTCTGGTCTGGTAGAGTTCATTGACGTATAAATAGAGCCTATAGGATATAATGTTTGAAGCATTTCTGTCTTTAATGTTTGAAGCTCTGTTTTGTCTGCTTTCTTGTCATATAAATCTTGAGCAGTGAATTTAATATTATGTTCATCCTTCATGACATAAACATCTTTACATCTAATGTTTCTCATCGTCGTTATGTCGTCATCCGATGTTAAACCTTGTGGAAAGTTAGGAGGTTTACAATATAATACATCCCCACCAGTTTCTTCAACCGTTCCTTCAATACTTTCTATAGCAACAGTTGTAAAACTTGTATGTGTATGGTTCTTGTCTGCTTTCTTCTCTAACTCATCGTTAACATAAGTTTTATCTGCTTTAAGGTCTAAACATCCTGAAACCCATCCTGTATCGGCTTTAGTTTTTAAAATCTTCGATGTCCGTTCATGGTACCAGTCAACCCTTTCTATAATTTCTTTATCTTTTTCGTTAACATATTCCTTATCTGCTTTCTTCTCTAACGCACTAGCCATAAGTCCCTTATCTACCTTATTTTCAAGGCTAACGTTTAAGTCTGTTATTTCAGATATAGAATGTGTATGAGTCTTTTTAGAATATTCGTTTTCAGCTCTTGTCACTTCACTTGACATTTTATTGTCAACATATGTTTTGTCTGCTAGTTCAGGATGAGTATGTTCTTTTGTTGCATAAGCATTGTTAGCTCTTTCTTCTTCTTTTGCTATTGCATCGTCTACATATTCTTTGTCAGCTTTGTTGTCAACATCTGCTTTCAAAAGAAGTTCATTTATAGGTTTCTCGTTTAAAGTTCCTTTTGTTGGATTTATACAGACAGTATTGTTCTTCTTGTCTTGAAACAGAAACTCATCTGTCATTGGGTTTAATGTCAGTTTTAAGTTTCCTTCTTTCAATGACTCAGATATCTTAGAATAGTTTGAAAAGTTTGTTGTGTTCTTATTTAGAGCTTGCATAATGAGTTGTCGGTTGTGTTGTATTTCTCTCATAGACGCTGTTTCATTTGACATTTTTATTCTAGATAAAATATGCTTCCAATAGAAAAAGAAAATTCAAGAGTTGCTACAACTAAACCATTAGATGAACTTTTTACTAATGTCGGTCAAAAGTTTGAGACAGAGACCGTAAAGCATGAAGGCTATCGTTTTGACTACCCATTAAGATGGCTAAGAGACCCATCTGTCACAAAAGCTATTGGCTTTCGTAGAATGAAGTTTGTGTCTGTAGAAGATAAAAGTTTTCCATTTATTGTAAGGTTTCATATAGATTATATATCTGAAGGGAAACGAAAAATGTGGGAAGAAATTGAGCTAATACAAGTTGACCTTTCATCTTCTCTACAGACTGCGTTAAAAAATATAGAAGATAAAATAAATTCATGTTATGCAAAATATGCTGATGAATATGCAAATACCGAGAGCACACTTTATGTGAGAATTGTATATGACAAACAAAATTCACAAGTGTCATTTCAAATCTACGAAGACAATCCAAAGAAAGACGAACAAATATATACAGAATTCACTGCAATGTCATGGTATTATTTGCAAAGAATGTTAAATCAGAAAGTCGAACTTCCTTTAGCAAATATTTACAGTCGATATGCAAGAGATGAACCATATTTATTTAAAGATGTTTTCGACCCAGCTGCTATTATTGTTCATGCTTCATTTTCTGGCGCCCAAAACTCTTTCTTATGCTTGGCAAATGACTTTTACGAAAAACCTACAAAGTTATACGAACCACCAAGTGGAAGTATTTCAGACTTTCAAGTATGGTTTACTACAGATGGAAGAAAAAGAATAATTCCATTATACCATGCGTTTTACTTAGAACTTAGTTTCATATACAACTACTATCGAACGGTAAAAATATAATTTTTTAATACGGTTGAGGTGTTGGATTTGGTTGCCAACTAGACTGTGGTGCAGGTTCAGGCTGTTGTATAACAGGAGCTTGTTCTTCTGGTTCAGGGTCTTTAGGTATAATACCAACGAACTGACCTACTCTTTTACCAATATTTTTGACTCCGTTCCAAATTCCTCTTCCTACGGTTTTTATTCCATTCCATATACCTCTTCCAACATTTCGAAAGAAGTTTCCTATCTTACTGAAGAAACCCATTTTACTATATGTAAAAATCTAATGTCCGCCTAGTCTTTTGCGTTTCCTGTTGAGTTCCATAGCATTCTTTAACTGGAGCTCATACATTCTGTTTCTCCTCTGGTAGAAAACATATTCTGGGTCAACTCCTGTGTTCGCGTCATCTGCATAAAGTTGTTTATATCCCACTTCAGGGTTTGTATAAAACTCTTTCCATCTCATATTTGCATACCATGGTGGCAAACCTAACGCAGCGTCATTTGACATGGCAGTTTGCATTTGTACATCTGTTGGCACTTGACCATAGTTTGCCATTGCAGTTTGTATTCTAACTTCATTTGGAATATTCTCTGGGTTTGGTTGTCCAGGTTGCTGTGCATTCGCTAAGTTCTGTGCGTCCATTTAATATTAGATAAAAATATCTCTTACGAGTACATATGCTGAACATTTGCAGGCATTGGTTCATCTTCATATTCTCTGTACTTTTCTGCCACGTCAAATAAATAAATGACACAATGGAAAAAACCTAAAACAAGTAGTCCTATTTCAAACCACATTTACTTACTAGTAAAATTTCTTTGTTATGACTTCTTCGTAAAGACTTTGTTGAGATTTCTTCGTAAAGACTTTGTTGAGATTTCTTCGTAAATGAGTGTAAATGACCCAAAAATATATTTTAGGTGAAGAGGTGAGATTTCACCTCTTTTTTCACCTCATTTCTCACCTCTTGAATTTTCATGAATTTCTTCGTAAAGACTTTGTTAAGACTTCTTCATCTAATTTCTCATGAACTTTCTTGTCTATGTTTTGTCAAGATTTCATCGTAAAGACTTTGTTGAGATTTCTTCGTAAATGACCCTAGTAGTATATTTTTGGTGTAAATTTCATGAAAATTCAAGAGGGTGAAAAATTAGGTGAAAAAACAGGTGAAATCTCACCTCTTCACCTAAACATTATTTTTGGTGTAAAATTCATGAAAATTCAAGAGGGTGAAAAATTAGGTGAAAAAACAGGTGAAATCTCACCTCTTCACCTAAACATTATTTTTGTCTGATTTTACGAAGAAGTCTTGACAAAACATTTACGAAGAAGTCTTGACAAAACATTTACGAAGAAGTCTTGACAAAACATTTACGAAGAAGTCTTGACAAAACATTTACGAAGAAGTCTTGACAAAACATTTACGAAGAAGTCTTGACAAAACATTTACGAAGAAGTCTTGACAAAACATTTACGAAGAAGTCTTGACAAAACATTTACGAAGAAGTCTTGACAAAACATTTACGAAGAAGTCTTGACAAAACATTTACGATGAAATCATGACAAAACATGTACGAAGAAGTCTTGACAAAACATTTACGAAGAAGTCTTGACAAAACATTTACGTTCATGTTTGACAAAACATGTACGAAGAAGTCTTGACAAAACATTTACGAAGAAGTCTTGACAAAACATTTACGAAGAAGTCTTGACAAAACATTTACGAAGAAGTCTTGACAAAACATTTACGAAGAAGTCTTGACAAAACATTTACGAAGAAGTCTTGACAAAACATTTACGAAGAAGTCTTAACAAAACATGAAAACATATATAATTTGTGAAAAGCGACACATATATATAATGTTTTCGACCCAGAAGACTAACAATTTTCCGAATAAAAACTTCATTTATACTAAACATCAACATCAGGGCTAGAAGGCACGAAGTGCCTGGAAGCCCCACTACCTTTTTTTTTTTTTTTTTTTTTTTTTTTTATATTCATAAAGATTTTCCAAAAATATGATACCGCAAAATTAAAAAAGTGACGTCTTGAGTGGAGTCAAAGGTCGAAAGAGTAGGGGTAATTTTAGCTAAAAGTGACACATTTGTAAAAAGTGACACACCCGTGAAGGGTGTGATTACCGATCGGTAATTTCGACAGTTTAGAATTTAAAATTTTTTATGGAACTGTTGCGAGTTTCATAAAGAATTTAAGGAATATAAGCAAAGATTTGAATCAAAATCTTAGACCTAAGCCGCTTGCTAAAGTAACTAATTTTAGCTGTCAAATACTTTTGTATTTTGAAGTAAATTAGTATAAATTTGTTTTTACTTTTATTTCGAAAAAGTAACAATAATCGTAAAAGGGTATTGATAGGCTTGCTAAAGTAACTAATTTTAGCTGTCAAATACTTTTGTATTTTGAAGTAAATTAGTATAAATTTGATATTATTTTAACTCCCTTTGAAAACCTCAATTTTCCATACAGAGGGGACGGGAATAGCATCCAATATTCCTTGAGAATGGTTGCGCATTCTCAGTTCCCTCTATATTTCGAACGAAGCTCTCATCGGTCTTTTTTTAATACTAAACGTTTTTTTTCCCCTGTCACTTTTAGCTAAAATTTGGGTTTGCCAAGGTCGAAATTGCTAGCTAAATGTTTTTTTAGCGAAATTGCGTATTGTACGTTTTTTTCGCAAAATGAAACCCTTATTACATAGGCATGTTTTCGAATGTTAATTGCAAAAAACATGTTTTCGACCAAATTCAATATTTAATTAGGGGGCCAAAATTTATTCTAAAGGGGACGTAATTTTTAAAAATGAATGATTATCTTAACTTATACGTTCCATCTTATGATCCATATTATAATATGGAAATGAACTCAAAGCGTGTTATGATGCCATCAGTCAGCTATTGGGTCTACGAAAAGATTAATTCAGAATCTCCGGATTATTATTCAAATAAGGATCCAATCTACAATGAATACAGACGAAAAACAGGAGCAATTGGATTCGTAAAACCTCCAACATCGAAATATTGGAAAGAATACGCTGATTCACATAACAAACCAACACTTTCACACTTAGAAGAAACTCATGACGACGAAGATGAATTAGATGTATTTTACTCAAAGAATGGTATCAAAATGCTTCCTAGAGTTGGCGCTACTCGTCAAGAATTAATTCAATATTTCGGTAAGGCAGGTGAAGAAGCTGCCAATGAACTACAAATGGTCGATGCACCATTTATAGAAGGATTGAGATCTGTTTTCGATATTGTTGTCGATCCAGATGATGAAATTGTCCAATCAATCAAATCAAATCCAAAATACCCTCCAGTCAGACCTGCAGACAACTTCCCACATCATCAAACTCCAAAGCTTATCTCTGTACCTCCTTATGAAGGCGATCTCAGTGAAATTGATGTCGATAAAATGCTAATCGGAGAAAAGAATGACGATCTTGGTAAGTCCAATGTTTGCAATGAATCACTTATTACTGAAATCTTCGAAAGAAAGGATGAATTCGCTGCATTTGACGCTAAACAATTTAATGATGCAAGAATTAAAGCAAATCCATGGGAAACAATCGGAAAAGTCATTTTCCAGAACCGTGCTGCCATGAAAATGGCAAATTTAGATGCAATTTTCAATTTTACAAATTCTCCAGAATTTCCGAATTTGGCGCCAAATTGCGGTAAGCTAGAAGACTATTTCTACTTTGCAGATATTTGTGCTGGTCCAGGTGGCTTTACTGATTATCTTTACTGGAGATTGGATGGTCGTGCAAAAGGTTTCGGTATGACCCTTGCCGGCGACCACGACTGGGCCCAGCCTGAAATGTTCCTTTCAACAATACCTAATTTTACGAAAGTTTACGGTCCAGAAGGCAACGGCAACATATTTAATCCAGATAACATCGAAGACTTATACAATACGATCAAAACAGAAACGAACAACAAAATGGTACAACTCGTTACAGCCGATGGTGGTACAGCTGTCGATGGCGAAGAAAATGCTCAAGAACAACTACATAAGAGACTTGTTCTCTGCCAATTCCTTACAGCATTGAGAGTATTACGTAAAGGCGGTTCATTCTTATGCAAAACATTCGATGTTTATACAGATTTCTCCGTTGAATTATTATATTTACTTGCACAGTGCTTCAACAGGTTCTGTATTATCAAGCCTTACACATCTCGTCCTGCTAACTCCGAAAGATACGTTGTTGGCCTCGGATTAAGGGAAGAAGATCCTCCAGCGAGATCATTGTTCAGCCGTCTCAACGAAAGTGAAGTTTGGAAGGACACAACAAAAGAACCATTATCATTCTTCCCATTCGAGAAGATTCCGAACGAGTTTATCCAGTATGTCAAAGAATCCAACGAATATCTCGTTGAATACCAAGACAAAGCTTGCGTAAACCTGTTAACATACGGTTACAATCCTGAACTGAAGCCTCTCGACCAAGAAGATGTGAAGAGAAGATGCTTGGAAGAGTGGAAAGTTCCAACAACGGTTAATAAGAAGGAAGTCATCCTGAAATACCAAGCATGGCAACCAAAAGAGATCAAGTCCACTGCAAATGTCGATGCAATGTTCCCTTTGGCCCAAGTTCAAGAAAAGAAATATATTTTGGAACCTCCAATGCAAACAAGGATCGATCACAACAACAAGATAACATATGTATCGCCAATGGGTGAGAAAATTGCAGAAATGAGGAGAGGACTCTATGATGAAAGTAATTATTACGAATATATCACTTATAAGAAAGCAAGAACTGCAGAATCATTATTGAATCATGATAATGAATATGACGATGATAATAATAATAGAGGCCAGCTTAATGGCACTGAAAACAAACCAAAATCTGTTGTTGTTTTCGCTAATTAAATAAAGTTTATTTGTTTTTAATAATTTCATTGGGATTAATAAGATTTCTGTTAGAAAATATTCTTCTTATGGTTCAATATCTCAATAAAATAATTTTACCTTTTTGAAATAAAGAATTTCGGCTAGTTTTTGCAAGTATAGTTGCGTCTTCCATTAAATTGAGATAAACAATGGTTGATGATTATCTAATTAATCTTGATCTAATAAAATATATTTATTGAATTAGCATCTCATTGATTTTAATGTTGGAGCATTTGACCAATTTTAGTCTTCCAAATATATAACTAGTATCATAGAAGGTTTGTCCATATTTAGTTAAATTTACTTCATGGATATATGATATGAAAATATATGCATGATAATATATAACATGTATGGTCAACTATTAGTTAGATATGGATCTCATTGATATATGTTTAATTTTTCTTTTATGAAAAAATATTCTATCATAACTATCATTTTACACTACATTCAGATAGGCCTTTTTGAGTAAATAGGATTGGAAGTTAGATTGGCATAATTTCAAATATATTGAATGAATAAAATTTTCATTAGCTTGAAAACATATATGAACCTCTGATGAATATACATTTTGAACCATTTAGGAAGTTTTAGAGAAGAGAATGTTAGGAAATTTACGAATAAAAGGCGACTCAAACTCGATTTTGCTTTTTTTCTCAACAATTAATGAACAACATTCAAGATTTTTACATCATTTTAGGGGTGACATCTATTGGCCCTACTTCTGCTGTGTTTGCAGAGGTAGAAATTTAAGAAAACTATAAAATTTGACATGTTACATAAGTTCAATTGAAAAAAATTTTTGTAAACAAGTTTACATCAAATAACATTAATTTTTCAAATGAGTTACCTTTTACCAGCCAAAAGAGACATAAAAATGATATTTATTGGTGACTCAAGCGTAGGAAAATCGTGTATTATTAATAAATATATCAAAGGACAGTTCTCTGAAGAAGTTGAGCCGACAGTAGGTGCGTCATTCTTTTCTCGAGAAATGGAAATACGTGGAGAGCATATAGTTTTGAACATTTGGGATACGGCGGGTCAAGAGGCATACAGATATCTAGTTCCGATGTATTATAGAAACGCAGATATTGCAATTGTTGTTTTCGACCTTACAAAATTTGAATCATTCCAATCAGTAGAACATTGGGTTGAAGATGTCAGAAAGAGTTGCAATAACGAGGTTAGCGTCTTCATTTGCGGAAATAAATGTGATCTTGAAATGAATAGAGCTATTTCTCCCGAACAGATCCAAGCGAAAGAAATAGAATTGAAAACATCATGCATTGAAACCAGTGCACTTACTGGACAAGGCTTAGATAAGTTATTTGCATTTTCTTTAGGTTCACACCTGGAGCAAAATCCAAAAATCATCGAAGATAGTGCATCTCCTTTTACACCAAATTTAACTACCCAGCGGCAACATCATTGTTGTTAATAATTTCAGAAATATTATTTACATACCGTTATTAGTCTATATATAATATGATCGGAAAATAACCATTAGCGCGACTTGTTTATTTTATACTATTCTGTGTTATGTTTAATCATTTACACAGCTTTTATAAAATATTGTTTTTGAGATATTAAAATTGTTATGTTCTTGTTATCCATCATCCATATTGCCTTTTCAAGATAAATTGAATAGCATATCGGCCAATATCAACAAATTCAAACTAATCGGAAATTCGACTAACTCAAAATGTTGTTTACATATGATAATACCATTGGTAAATCATTATAGCACACATGTGAAAACAAATAACGAAGATTCTCCTTAAAATTTGCTCGTTGAAAAATGAAATTTATTTTTACTTCATAGTTTCAATTAGTGCTACAGAGAAAAATTAAGTATTTGCGAAGTTGATTATGACTTTTCAACCTAAGAAACAATATCTTCAACAATCTAATAGCATTAGAGAAAATGTAATGATATTTATTCATAATAATCAGGTACTCAATTGAAAAATCATGTTTCTTGAAACTCAAACAATAGAATAAATCGACTTTTAGGGGCGTTGGCGACATATAGGCGTCACAATGTAAACCATTCAAATTTGAACGGTTTATGTGCGTCATATAAGGAAAATTCAGAAGGCCGGCGTCATAGAAGAATTGTCAGATATTTTAGAGCCTTAATCGTCGGGGAAGTAAAAAGTGACTAAGAGAAAAAATATTGCATGATATAATATAGTAAACAATATTAAACAATAAAGATTTTGTGATAAGTTTTCAGAAGCGAATTGAATAATTTGAGACTACTTTTGATTAATTAAAGAAAATCATTTTAGACTCTCAGAGAGGGAATTGTAGCCTGCGAGGCACTGGATCTAGTCCAGTGCCTCGCAGGCAACAATCCTTGCTCTCGAGCTCTGAAACTTTGGTTGCATAAGATGCAATCAGAGCTAAAAAAAGAGCTCAAGAGAAGGAATTGTAGCCTGCGAGGCACTGGACTAGATCCAGTACTTCGCAGGCAACAATCCTTGCTCTCGAGCTCTGAAACTTTGGTTGCATAAGATGCAATCAGAGCTAAAAAAAAGAGCTCAAGAGAAGGAATTGTAGCCTGCGAGGCACTGGACTAGATCCAGTACTTCGCAGGCATCAATCCCTGCTCTGGATCTTTCACAATATGGATTCTTCCTTTTATCAAAAGTTTTCTCAATATTTGTTAATTCTCTCAAAAGTTCTCACAATATTTTTATTTGGCACATATATTAAAATTAATATTATAATTGTTATTTTGTTGCATGCTAAGTTCGGTCAACGATAGAAATTGAGTGGAAATTAATCGTCGAGGAAGTACGATTATGTAAAGTAAAAAAATGTTGTGGGATTTTTAATATTATATATTATTTTATAATAAAATTTTTTTGAGTCATTTTAAGAAGCACATATAATTTTTTGAATTTAAAAATTAAAGTAGTGTCAAACGAATTTATCACTTAATTTAATACTCAGATTTCTTAAAATTAATGAAAAAAAGGTTTTCTGAGAACTTTTGAGAATGGTTTTCAAATTCCATTATTGAAAATATATAGGTATTGTATGAAATTCAAACTCTATATTTATTAAAATTCTAAATTTTTAATAAAATAACTTTTCAGAGGAATATGATTTTGAATGGTTGATTAATAAGTATAAAAATGTCTACAATTTTAAGGAGGGAATTGTTCCTTATGAGGTATACATCATAACTATATACCTCATAAGGAACAATTCCCTCTTGATAGCTGGGAAACTTTCTCTGAATAACTTATCATTTGGAGAAAGTTTCCCAGCTATCTATTAGAAACTAAAGGCTGTGAGGCACTAATATATAATCAGTGCCTCATAGCCTTTAGTTTCTTATTAAAAACGAGAAAACTTGTTCGAAATGATAAACAATTTCGAAAACGTCGTTTTAAGGAGGGAATTGTTCCTTATGAGGTATACATCATAACTATATACCTCATAAGGAACAATTCCCTCTTGATATCCTGGATATTTTTGAATATATTTTTTTAATTAAAGTTCTCAAAAGTATTATCAAAAGTGATTTTTTAAAAATATCTCCAATTAATTAACTAATTAAAAGTATTATATTTTTAAAATTAAATAGTTTTTCAATTTTTTTGAAGGAATTGAGATACTTCCCACGACAATAAAATTGAGAGGTTTACATTATGACTGATCTTAGCATGCAACAATTTAATTTTAAAATGAATTCAAAACCTCAATCAATATTTTGAAGTACTTCCTCTCTGTTTTTTGACATAATAATCGTTATGTAATCTATGACGCCGGGTGTCTCAATTCTCCCTTTGTGACGCACATAAACCTCAGAAAATTGAATAGTTTACATTGTGACGCCAACGTGACGCCACCCCCATTCCAACCCGAATAAATCTTCTTTATGAAAAATTTGTGTAAGGTCTTTTCAGTAAGCGATTTTTAAAAAACGGGTTGAGTAGTGTTCATAATAAGATAATTAACTCAATATAAGAATCAATGAGATAAGGTATTTCATTTATTAATCATGACGTTTTCCTTCAGAAAACCTTTTCAATTTTCTGAGAATTGGGGTAAAATAATAAACATTTTACAGACAAACAGACATCTGTTCTTTTCCATAATATTACATAAATACACAGAATGCCATTGTAAATCTATACAAAAGCAATATAAACCTTAATGCTCATAAAAAACATCTATCACTTTCTCAAAATTTTATTCAATCATTCGATCATACTATTTCACAGGAATGTTTTTTTCGCGTAGTTATAAAATTGTGAGCTAGCCAATTTTTTGAGTCCTCTGAAAATGATCTTAACCAAGTGACAACAATGATCACAAGTGCTTTTAAGATTTAATTTTTCTTATAAAATTTTGCGTTTGTTTTTTGAAAGAAAGTGTTCACTTCATTTATATATAAAATGTCTGTTATCGCCTCAGCATACTATAATAAGTTTGATAAACTTAGTCATTAGGAGATAGATACTGCTGCTGACCACTTCAACAGCATCTCTATCAAAGGATACATCAATGAAGAAGCAATCATCAAATTGTTCTCCGAACTTGGCCAGAAAGTAGATAAGGAACAAGCATCAAAGTACATTGGAGAATATGATTCTGATAACGATGGAGTTTTAGACTTTAACAACTTCCTTAAGATCCTTGTTGATGAAAAAGAAGGTAAGAAGAGTGTTTTTACAGATTCTCTCAAGAAGCATCGCTCATTGATCAAGACAAAAGGCAAAGGTGGTGCTGAGCGTTCTTATGCACAAGAAGAAGTTGCTGGTTTCGTTAACCACATTAACTCCGAATTGAAGGATGATGAAGATCTCAAGAACATCCTTCCGATCAACCCAGACAACGATGAACACTTCAAGAAACTCGGTGATGGCCTTCTCCTCTGCAAGATGGTCAACATGGCTTCAGAAGGAACAATTGATGAAAGAGTTATTTCAAAGGGAAAGAAGCTCAACACATACTCAATGGCTCAGAACATTGATTTAGCCCTTAACTCTGCCAAGTCTATCGGTATTTCTACCATTAATATCGGTAATACAGATATTCGTGATGGAACAGTTCATCTTGTACTTGGTTTAACATGGCAACTCGTTAGAATGTCCCTTCTTAAGACAGTTAACCTAACAAATCACCCAGAATTGTTCAGATTATTGAAGCCAGGAGAAACATTAGCAGATTTACTTAAGCTTTCTCCAGAACAAATTCTTTTAAGATGGTTAAATTACCATCTCGAACATGCTGGCTCAAAGAGAACAGCTACAAACTTTACAACGGATTTGGCCGATTCTGATATTCTTACAACTGTTCTTCATCAAGTTGCCAAGGATGAATGCACAATGGCACCAATGAAGGAGAGCGATTTAATGAAGCGCGCAGAACTCATGCTCCAGGAAGCTGATAAGATTGAATGCCGCAAGTTTGTTGGACCACGTGAAATTGTTAACGGAAACCAACGTCTTAACTTGGCTTTCGTCGCTACAATTTTCAACACAAGACCAGGTCTTGAAGCATTATCTGAGAAAGAACTTGCTGCTCTTGATGAAGCTTTGTTTGCTGCAGCAGGTGAACGTATCGAGCGTCAGTTCTGTCTTTGGATGAACTCTTGCGGTGTTGAACCATTTGTCAACGAATTATACTCTGGAATTTCAGATGGTTTAGTTTTACTCCAGATGCTTGACAGAATCGAGCCAGGTTGTGTTGACTGGAAGAAGGTCAACAAGACAAAGCTCAACAAATTCAAAGCTGTCGAGAATTGCAACTATGTCATTGAGATTGGCAAGAAACTCCAGTTCTCTCTTGTTGGTATTTCTGGTGCTGATATCAATGATGGTAACAAGAAGCTCTGCTTGGCTCTTCTTTGGCAGATGATGAGATACGATTATCTCAAGACATTCAAGAAGCTTGGCCATGGTGCTTTGATCAAAGATGAACAGATCATTGAATGGGCAAACGGCATCACAGGAAGTGTTTGCACAATCAAATCATTCAAGGATGAACAGATTAAGAATTCCAAGCCATTACTCCACTTGATAGACATTCTCAAGCCTGATACTGTTGACTGGTCAATCTTTGAAGATTCTGAGGATGAGAAAGTTCTCGCAAGAAACGCCAGATACGTCCTTTCTATGGTTCGTAAGTTCGGCGGCACAGTCTACGCTCTCCCAGAAGATATTGTTGAATGCAACAAGAAGATGGTCATGACTGTTTATGCTTCTTTGATGATTCTCCAATAAAAATATTTGAATTTACATCTTTTAAATTAATTTAACAATCTATCTACATAGAAATAAGTTCATGATTGAACGGAATAATTAAAATATCCACTAATTGTTTCAAATAATAATTTTTTTATTCATATTTACTCTGGCATCGCAGTATTCTACAGATATCACCTTTTATTAGCAATCCCACTACTAATAGTACTGTATTAAAAAAATAATTTTTCTTCATTTAATTTTCTAGCGCTACTCAAATTTCCTTTAAATTTTAAGCTCAATTGTTAGAGTCAAATAAGGGTTTCGTTTTGCTAAAATTGTCACTTTTATAGCATATTTGTTTTTGGATGTTTTGCGAAACCAAAAAAAAAAACTATGATATACAATGTGTGTGTAAAGAAAATACTTTATTTACTAGTTAAAAAATCATTTGGTATTGATCAAGTTATTTTTTCTGGATAAGATATTATATGGATAATTGGATAGAAAATACAATTATATAATCTTGTACCTGGTTTAATTAAGCTAATTGTCATCAGAAACTTGTAATTTTTATGAATTTCAGATTTTCTTTTCATTACTGCTTTTCTTAATAGGTCAAGTTCTTATTTACGTTATAAAGTATGATATTTACAAATATCAAGTTATCATGTTTTTTGAGAAATTATGAGAAACAAACAAAAATGAAAAAGATAGGAATAGCAATGAATAGTGATGTGGGTATAGAAAATGTAAGAGATATGAATGCAAAGCAATCAGTATTTAGGACATTGACCATAGATTTCGAAAAAAAAATGCTGCATATTGAGCGAAAACTATGATTATATTATAAGGCTGTCATTTAAAGCATAATGAAACTATTCCCTTTTCATTTTAATCGAATAAGATAGTAAAGATTTTTGAATTAGCTAGAAACTGATGAGATGTTTTCACAAATCAGATTTTTAATCTCTATAATGCATAATTCACTCAATATCTCAATTTTGATATTGCGAGATATTTTTGCTATCGGTTTCGCAATTTTGACACAATAGCAAGAGGGTTCTATAAGCATTATTATCAACGTAGAATCTGAATATCATATCAGAAAATGTCGCAAATCTGACATTTACCCGACCAAATAGCAAAAATAATTGAATACTTTTCGCAAAAACTTTAAAAATCGATAAAAATATGAAATATAGATATTAAAGAGACTTTTTATATAATATTCATAAAGATTTTCCAAAAATATGATACCGCAAAATTAAAAAAGTGACGTCTTGAGTGGAGTCAAAGGTCGAAATTGCTAGCTAAATGTTTTTTTAGCGAAATTGCGTATTGTACGTTTTTTTCGCAAAACGAAACCCTTAAGTCAAAAATATTTCTCAAATAAAAAGTTTCAAGTTAGCAGATTTTACGCCACAATATTGAAATTCCAAACTTTTCAGGTTTTTAGATTATTGATATTATATAGATAATAATTTTCAACTTTAATTGAACTATCAGATTGAATTAAAGAACGATAATTTTTGTATTTTTTCAAAAAAACTATGGCGGAGAATACAGAAGGAACAGTTTTTGAGTTCGATCCACTTCAAACACCAGTACAAAATAACAACATCGAAATTTCGTATCAAGAATTTGTTAGAAGTCTTTCAGAAGGTTATATGGAGAAAGATATCACAAAGCAATTTCATGATTTATCTGATGGCATCATAGGATTAAATAACAAACTTGAAAAAGAGCTTTTCAGAGTTCAGAACAGCCTTGTTGTAAATCAAGCAAATACAATTTGTACATTACCTTTACTTGCAGGTCGTGAAGTAGAATGCATTTCACCAATACAACCTGCCGCATGGATCCAAGGCGAAGTCGGTGGCATGTATGACCCTGTAAATGATAAAGTTTGTTTGAATTGTGTTGGCCATTGGGAAGGAAATGCGAGGTCACTCAATCACTTCCTCTGGCAATCAATTACAACACCATGCTTTATTTTCTTCCATGCTATTGCTGTTATTTCCATTATTATTGGTTTTCTTGTTGGCTACCTTAATACAAGTTTCAAAGACGATCCAAGCTACAGATCAAGAATAATAGGTATTGTAGCTGGTATTTCAGCTGCCTACGATATCGCCTGCGTTATTGTTATTTTAATTCTTGAAAGTTTCTTCCCAGATGATCCAGCACCATTCGAAGCTTCCCAGGTTCAAGAGCAAGTCGTTCAGGTGGTTTCTACGGCAATAGATACAATTGCAGCGGAAATTTCGCCCGAACATAAATCTCTTGCTACAAATGAAGAAGAAATGGACAATCCTCAATTGGTTAGCCATTACATCCTCATTTTCTTCTACGAAACAGGCAAAACAGTGCTTGCAAACTTATTAAAACCAGCAGGACCGTTTTCTGAGAAGAAAATACCACAAATTGAATGGCCAGAGTTCGAAAGATTCCTTTCTTTCTTCAGATTCCTCAGAGAAATTTCAGATGCCGAAATCCAAGCTTATGATCCAATTCCAGATTTGACAAGGAAAAAAGTTTTCAAGGTTCTCCTCATCGCCCTAGAACGTGGAACCCCAAAAGTCCATTTCCAGCTCCTCAGATTACTTGCTTTGGCACTTGAGCCTCCGAATATCAGAATGCAACACGTAGAAGAGAATACAAAGGACATAAACCTCACACACTATTTGACAGCAAGCTCTGTTCGCTCTCTTATTCACGATATCAAGGTCGATCTTACGAAATGGAAGTCATCGAAGACTCCAGCTCAGTTTGGATCAATTGAGAACCAGGCAAGAATAGAAGTCGTTGTTTCCAAGTCATCTGATGAACAGTTGGTTACATTCAGGTCTCATGCTTCAAGACTCAGCTCAACTTACATCGAATTCGGATAATTTCATTCAATTTTTATGTCAAATATTATTTAAATTAATTTTTATTGTGTAAATTTTTAAATATTTCCTAATTTGAATATACTTTTCAAATTTTTGAGAGAATCAGTTTTTGGTATTTTTTTTAGTTGAGATTTAATTTCAAAAAAAGTCATCTGAACAAGATGACAACTCATGGAGCAATTATTTCAATATTGGGTTTACAGGAGAAGAAATTAAACATGTTAAAACTGCATACTAGTTCATTAACAATTTAAAAAATGCACAATTTTCGTTGAATTAAAGAGAAAATCGTTTTCAGAGGATGACACTATTTGGAAAATCTACTTCAACAGTGAATTTACAGGCGAAAACACTAAAAATTGCCAAAACTGCAATATAATTCAAGGAAAAGGCCAATATTACTTAGATGAATGTAGTTTTTACAATTATAATGACAGAGTTATCAACTTTGATTCAATTTGTACTTCGACAGAAGAAGGAAATTGCATTAACTACAGAGCTGACAGTGATAGTTCAATTGTTCAACGAAAATTCTGTTGTACAAAATGCCAAAGCTCTCAAAATGGCCAATTTTCTAATACAAAAGTTGGCACAGATAACTTAAACTTTATTATTGAAAGTTCCCTTTTTGATGCAGGAAATATTAATGGAAATGCTATTTGTCAAACAGAGAATGATAATGTCGTTGTCTCATCAACAAATTTCTCATCAAATAAAGCTTATTTCGGCCCTGCTGGACATTATAGATGCGAATCACTTAAATACATAATAAAATTTAACTACACAGTTGTTGTTAATAATTTAGCAACAAATGATATATTAAATATTCAAAATAACGCTTTGATTGATTCATGTAATATTATAAATAATACACATTCAGAATGGGGAATTATTTACCATTATTATAATTCTCTTACTGTAAAAAGTTGTTCTTTTATTAACAACACTGTTTCTGAAGATTCATCTTTGATACGTAACTCTGGTAATGATCAATTAACAGTTGATAGTTGTTACATTGACAATTCGATTTCAACAACATTTCTTAGAAATGTAAAACCTACTAATACAAGAGAACTATTTACTAACAAATTGATTCATTTTTCAACTGGTAATTGCCAAGCAGAATTTGCAATTATCAATAAAAGTATTTCTAAAGCTCATAAACTTTCTCTTTTTTTACAAACTTTAGTAAACATCAAAAAATCTCCATAGCCTATTTCCACTTTATAGTTGATTCTATATGCATTTAATAGTGAACTATCCACTTTCTGACAGACTATCAAAATGCCAAATTCAGGGATGAAGAATTTTGACTGGGATAACTTCTAACATATTGCTCTGCAAGTTTGATAGAAGTGTCACACTTTTATGTCATACAAAGTAAATCATTTTTTTAGTATAAAAGTCAAACAAAATAAATAAAAATAAATTAGATAAGTTGGAAATAATCTGCTAAGAGATGCTCAAAAACATCAGCTTGCAGGATAACAGGGAAGTTCATCAACTGATTTGGCTCAGGAACTCTCTTAAGTAAAAGCATTTGCTCATTGATGCACTCTTCGAACTGTTCGTACTTGTCTGGTATGTAATACCAATAGTAAGAGCTCATTTCGAAATCAAAATCTTCATAATAAATTTTTTCTTCCTTGTAATTATTAAATTCTTGCACAATTTGTGAATTGGTAGGATCAATAAGCAAAAGAGTCTTAATTTTCATCATAAACAAAAGGAAATCAAAATTATTTTCTTCATAAATTTCTTTTGCTTTAATTGTGCAAAGCTGCTTGAATTCTAAGTTATATATCAACTCAGGATCAGCGTTTTCCAGCATTTTCTCGAGATCATTTTTATTATATTTTGAAATATCATCGAATTCAAAGAAATAATCTTTAAATTGACTGTTTTCACCCCAGAAATTGTACATGTGGGATCCAAATGCTTCGCACATTTGAGCCAATAAAATTTTTTGTTCATTTGTTGGAGAATCCAATGAAAGAAGCGATTTCATGATCTGAAATCCAGCAGAAATGCGATCCCTTGCGAAATCAGAGCCATTTCCCATTGCTTTGATGAATAATAAATATGCAGTTTCAATTCTTTGTTTAATACGAGTATGATCGCAGATGTAGTGGATTTTAGCAGATTTAGTGAGGTTTGATTCAACTCCTGTCAAGAAAACTTCACCAAGAAAGGCAATTGCATCTGGATCTCTATTTTTCGATTGTTTGAACGCGTAATCAATAAATTTTGAAAGCATGACATTCTTCTTCAATGATTCTGATATGAAATGCATGTTCATGCACTTTTTATTGTACTCAAAAATTATTTTTTGATCTTTTTCGAATTTTTCGAAGCTGTTGATGAACGCGTCAACATAATTCTCTAAAATTCTTATTACTATGTTCTCTGGACCATCATATTTTATTTTGCTTTGTATTAATTTCGAAATTTTTTTAATTTCATTCATATCAGTTTCATTTTTGACATTGGTTAAATCAATATCATCGAACTGAGTACTTTGGTATGATTTATCGAATAATTTGTCGATAGCATTAACGAAATCATGAATTTCGTTACGTAAATCTTCTGAACAAGAAAGTTTTCCGCTGTAAATGATGGAAAAAATGAGTAATGCAAACTCATCACTGTATTCCATTAGGATTGAGTTCACAAAGATCTCATCTGCGTGTCGAATTTCTCCTTGATTGTATCTGTCGAAATCTATAATTGCAATGTCGCCATTATCAAGGAAAAGAATATTAGCTATGTCCAAATCGCAATGATGGATGCCATTTTGATGGATATATTGTATTGTTTTAAAAATGTTATAAATTGCTTTGGATTCAAGTAATGAGTGTACATTTCCATTATTTTCTGCTGCTTGAATATACTGGTAAGAGGCAGATAGAACTGCCTTTTCTTTTTCTTCGGCAAAATATAAACTATGAACTTTTGGGATATTTGGATGATCGAAAGCAACAATGCATGTATCGCGCAAAATGTGTTTGACCGAATCAATGTTTTGTTTATCTAATTTATATGATTTAAAAATTTGTTTTAGTCGTTCATTGACGCGAATGTAGCAATTACCTCCTGTACCAAATCCATAAAATTGTTTAAAGTTTGATAGATTTTCTGGTGGTAAGCTGAACAAAGATTCTAAACTCATTTTTTATTTTTTTTTTCAAAATTCCATCATAAAAGAGTCATGTATTGTTTGAAGCTCATATACAAAAAATGTATATAAAATAGGAATTTTTTAAAAGATATCGCCGAAAAAGGATTTAAAATTGGATTTTTATCTACCCGATTGAAATAAGCTCTCATATTTTGGAGTTACATTAAAATACTTGATATTTTCCTTTTTTATCTCATTAGATATAGATGGTAACTCCATAAAAAACAATAGATTATGAAGAATTACTAATGTTTACTAAAGTTTGAAAGAAAAGAGAAAGTTCATTAAGCTCAACAATACTTTTATTGATAATTGCAAATTCTGCTTGGCAATTATCAGTTGAAAAATGAATCAAATTGTTAGTAAATAGTCCTCTTGGATTAGTTGGTACTACATTTCTATAAAATGTTGTTAAAATCGAATTGTCAATGTAACAGCCATCAACTGTTAATTGACCCTCGTTAAATATCAAACGTGAACCTTTAGAAGCAGTGTTGTTAATAAAAGAACAACTTTTTACAGTAAGAGAATACAACTCATGGCGAATAATTCCCCATCCTGAATTCGAGTTAGTATTATTTATAATATTACATGAATCAATCAAAGAGTCATAGCGAAAATTTAATATTTCACCTGTGGCTAAATTATTAACAACAACTGTGTAGTTGAATGTTGCTGTGTAATTACGTGATTCGCATCTATAATGTCCAGCAGGGCCGAAATAAGCTTTATTTGATGAGAAATTTGTTGATGAAACTACGACATTATCATTCTCTGATCGGCAAACAGACAATCCATCAACTTTATTTCCTACATCGAAAAGGGAACTTTCAATAATAAAGTTTAAGTTATCTGTGCCAACTTTTGTATATGAAATTTGACCACCACCTTTGCCTTCGCATTTCGTACAACAGAACCTTCGTTGGACAATTGAACTGTTCTGGCCAATTCTGTAGTTAATGCAACTTCCTTCTTCTGTTGAAGTGCAATTACTAAAAGAGCAGCGATTGTGTAGGAACAATGAGTTGTTAATGGGGCTAAAGTTGATAACTCGGTCTTTATCATTGTAAAATTTGCACTCATCTAGGTAATATTGAAAAAAAAAAAAAAAAAAAAAAAAAAGGGAAGTGGGGCTTCCAGGCACTTCGTGCCTTCTAGCCCTGAGGATGAATGGTATAATGAAGTTTTTTTTTTCTTGGGGTGGGCTTCCAGGGGCTGCGCCCCTTCTAGCCCACATAAATGAAGTTCTTATATACGGGTCTTCCAGGAGCTTTTCACAAATTATATATGTTTTCATGGTTTGTCAAACATGAACGTACATGTTTTGTCAAGACTTCTTCGTAAATGTTTTGTCAAGACTTCTTCGTAAATGTTTTGTCAAGACTTCTTCGTAAATGTTTTGTCAAGACTTCTTCGTAAATGTTTTGTCAAGACTTCTTCGTAAAATCAGACAAAAATATATTTTAGGGTAGAAGGGTATATCTACCCCGTTTTCTACCCTCATTTCTACCCCATATGTCCTTACTGAAAAAGTATGTGTTCCATCTGTCAAAAACCGCTTTTTAACTTCACTTAAAATGCCACGTAAGCTACGTAAGAATATACGTAAGAGGAAGAGAGCATTGAAACATCCAATAGTAAAACTGACACCACAACAACAGTTGCAACAACAAATGCTGAATGACCCCACTATGTTGCAACAAATGTCAAGCAATCCTATGCTTTTAAACCGAGTCATTGGTGCACAGAGTGGAGGTTTAAGAGCGGCACTTTTAGCGAAAATGGCAGGCTATGGTGGAGCTGCAGACGGAACAGCCTATAACCCTCAAAGTCAAATGAATTTGAGTTCACTCAAAAATCAAATAGCAGATGTCAAAAAGTCAAACATAGACATACAGAAGCAAATAGGTGAAAACGAAAAGAAACTAGAATATGACAGACACACAAAGAAACTCAATGAGTTAAACGTAGAGAAAAAGAAGAAAGAAGAACAACTGAAAGAACTAAGTACAGAGGAATATGCGAAAAAAGTGTCAGAAAAAGCAGCAGAAGTAGCAAAAATGGAACAAGATGTCATAAATTTGAAAAACCATACTACTCAATATAAAGTACTGAAAGATGAAGAAATAAAACAAAAAGCCCTGAAGACATATATGGATAGCGATGAGTATAAAAAAGAAGTTGAAGCAAATGTAAAGGCAGAAAAACTTTTACAGTTGCAAAACCAAACCGTACAGTATGAAAACTTAGCACAAGAAAGTAAAAATAACGACGCAGCCATGCAAAAGGCAATGAAAAAGCGCAGAATATATATAAAGCTAACAATGACTGGTTAGATGCCCAAGCCAACGCCAAAGCAGCCCAGCTTATAGGGTCAATAAGGACAAAAATACAAGCGGATGAAGACAGTTCAAATGAAGCTTTAACAAATGCTGACTTTAAGAACGCCTTCGAAGCTCTTCATAGTAAGGTGAAACAAGTGAACGACTTCTCATCTGGAAAGAAACTGAAGTCTGAAGGTTTCGACAAAGAGTTAAAAGAAGTAGCACAAAATATGACGAAAATAACAGATGCAGCAACGAGACAGGCAGTTCAAAGTGCCTATGACGCCGTTAGAGCAACTGTTGTGAAAAGTCAAGAAAAAGAGTTACAACAGACCAAAACAGACCTAGTAAATGCTTTCTTAAAAACGAAAAGTCAGGTAGGACACTATGCTGCAGATGGAACATATGTGCCAGCTGGTGGAACTTATATACCAGCTGGTGGAACTTATATACTAGCTAGTGGAACCTATATACCACCAAACCCTCTAAGAGAAGCACCTGCACCAGGACTACCTAAAACATTTACATCGTCACATGGACACAGACACAGGCATGCACCAAAACCAACACAACAACCAACAGTTCAAAACGCTGCACAACAACCAACAGTTCAAAACACTGCACCACAACCAACAGTTCAAAACACTGCACCACAACCAACAGTTCAAAACACTGCACCACAACCACAAACAGAGCAAGGACATAAAAGAAGTAGAGAACAAGGAAACCAAGAATTCTTAAAAATGCTAAAGGAAAAATATGGTTACCCAGATACTATTGACTTTAGTGACAGATATAAAGAAGCTATTAGAAAGTTCAAGGAAGAAAATACTGACCCGAACCTATTTAGCTTTATGGCTCAGCATAAAATCGGATATAATTTCAAACCTGGAAAATACAAGCTCGCTAAGGGATATGATTTAATAGCATATCGTCCAAATGACATGACTGAATTTACTCCGAGATATTTTATGTCAGAGATAAATGATGATTCAACTATCTTCATGAAACGCGTAAAAAATAGAGACGGAACGAAAGAAGAAAGGCTTATGAATGCAGATGACTTAAATAGGGAACTTGTTAAAAACGGTCTCGGAATATATGAAATGCCAGCAGATGAGGTACAAGAAACTCCACAGGAAGAACTAGTTCAGATACAACCAGACATGGAAGAAATAGTTCAGCAACAACAGCTAGAAGAGCCTGAAGGAAACGAACAAGTCCCTCCTTTGGAAACTAACCTCACAGAACTAGATGAAGATTTGGAACAGCCGAAAAATCTTGACCCTCAACAAGAGTATGCGGAGAATATGGAATATTTCCAAGAGTCTAAAAAAATTCGGCTGACATAGTAGAAGAATATCGAAAAATGTTTGCCGACATACAAAAGACTCCAACACCAGATGAAAATATTCAGCATAGAATGGAAGAACTGAAAAAAAATGTACACAAATACAACAACCCTTTTTACTTACGAGCATTTAACGTTCAATCTTCGGATGAACTCGGTGAAAATAAAAGGTTAAATTTCAAGAAAACATATAGAAATGAAACATTGTTTAAAGTTCATTCAGAACCTAACCAAGATGGAAACAAACCTACTTTTGTTTCTGCAGACGATGGAACTACAATGAGATGGGGTCATAAAGCTAACCCGGATAGGTGGTTCATAAACTTACAACCTCAATTCCAAGAAGTTGTAGACGCAATGGAAGTGAATGGTGAACCAGATGTAGCTGGTATTTTCAGCGCGGCTTTAATGCCATTGAAAGATATGAAAGATGCAGATATTTTGGACCAGTATGAAATGAACATGGCTGATGGAAATATAACACCTGACGTTCTAGAACATTTATCTCAAAGAACTACACAGAACCATAGAGATGGTATATTTGGTGAAGAGTTTAGAAAGAAAGTTAGGGAGGGCGAAGGAAGAGAACCTATTGTACATGACCTTGCAAACGAAAGTTTGCAAAATGTCATAAAAACTTACTTTGCAGACAATGAACTGAGAAGGGATGAATATTTAAGAAAACTCAAATGGACAGTACCAAATGAAATGTTAGTATTGAAAAACATGTTCCTTGACAAAATAAAACCAACTACAGAAATAAACGACGCAAGACTGAAAGATTGGGTAAAAGCTTTCCCATTCACAAAAGATATAGTTGGTAACATGGAAAGAAAACCAGAATGGCTACAAAAACATATATTTGGAAACGAGCTTATTCCATATGGACAGGCACTGTTTGAAGAGCTTGAACCAGAAACTCAGGACAGAGTCATGCAAACAATAAGCGACGACTCAAATACAAACTATGACAAACTCTTTCTAGGATATAGGTTACCTGAGATGGGCGACCAGAGCCAAAAGGCAAAAAGGACATGGGAAATTTGCAACATACTAGATGAACATAATGCAAAGATGCAACAACTTCAAGCAGAGGGCAATGAAGGAAAAAGAAGAGTTAAAAACTCAGTCAGGAAGAAAGTAAAGCTTGGTCCACGTGGGTTCTATTATGACATATAAATCCAACTATTCTATATTTTTACTCATATGAAATGTACGCCGCTCAGAATATAACGCCAACAGTTTTGGATGCTATGAATGGAAATGTTTCCGAATGGTATAACGAATGCGACAATGCCATTAGAAGGTCAGAAATAGTTCCTGGAACTTACGAATATACAACTGCTGTTTCTTATGGAAACGTAGGTGAGTTTGGAGAAGGTTCTTCAACAACAGTAGATATTGCTTGCGACAGGTTTCATATTATTTCTATTGACAACTCATTCTTATACGTGGAACAAGACATTGAAATAAAACCTTCTGCCAAGTTGTCTGACAAGAAAGGTTGCAATGGAATTTTCTATGTCGGATACCAATATGCTCCAGAAGTTTTCATGGGATATAAGATATATTCTAACTCTGACTTAGTTCAAACAGTAACATGGGCAAACTATGAATGGTTCGCTTTGAGAAACTCAGTACAACCACAAGCTAGAGAACAAACAGACCAGTATGCCACCATTGAGAAAATAAGAAGACTTGACCCTAACGTTCCAGGAGTTTATGTTAACCTTTCTGGACAAACTGCAGCAGCAGTAACCAAAGTAAAACTGAAACTTAGAGTTCCTTTGTCATCTTTCCTCATCTTCAGGTTTTTAAGATACTTGCCAAACTGGGCAGGAAAAATTTCTATCGAACTTACTCCAAGCAAAAATAACTTAGTCATTGCACCAACACAAGACCCATTCACTCTTACAGACGTAAAGGGAGCAAATCAAACGTCATTCGCCGACTTTTGCAAAGATAAGGTTGACTTAGACTTTGGTTTCTCAAACCTCAACACTGAAGTAAACTATTATTTCAATGCTGCTGGAACTGCTTGGGACCCAGTTAAGTTTACATGCGAAAAGTTTGAATGCAAGAGAATAGAAAGCAGACTTGCAGTCTATATGTTGGACCCAGATATTTCAAATGCTTTAGCTGCCAAATATATTGCAGTTCCACTTATGTTCCCTATACACCAAATATCTGTCAAAGACTTTGCAGGTGAAGTTGGAAACCAAAGTGCTGACCCAGGTGCAAGAACAGATATTGCCTTAACAACTGCAATGAAACATGCAGATACTATGTTTGTACTGTTCAGACGAACTATAAATGACTATTCTTGCTTCTACAACCCTGGTATTAAATACCATATAAACATAGATGGCAAATACTATCCAAGAGAAGAATATTCCACAGTTGAAGATATGAGGTCATACAACTTGACATTAGATGCTATGAACTTTAACAACAACTTCACAACAACCATTAACCCTGAAATGCAAAGTTCTATTATGCCATATGTGAAAGTATGGACCCATACAGGAGCTCAAAAAACTCAATATACAAATGGAGACCGTTCAAACTTTTGGCTTGGCATTCCATTTGCTGACTCAGAAGACTTTATGGGTGGTATTTCAACTGTTGGTACTGTACAAATACAATATACTGGTGACAGAGACGGTCCAGATGAATTGAAAGCAAAGAAGTTTACAAAACCAATAGCACTTTTCACGGAAGATGCTCTTTTGAAGATTCGTTCGATGAAACCTGCTGGGGCTCCTCAGATTGGCATAACGACAGCTTCCATCGAGCAGATTTTGGCAGCAGGTCAGTAAGTTGTTCTTGAACTGACTTCTCTCCGTCAAATATTGACAGTACGCCAGTTTTGACATAGTATTGTATTAAAAACTTACCTTTAGAAATATCGGTCAGTTTTGTTGTTATATTTTTGTCTGCTTCAAGAACTTTCACCATCTCGGTTATACCAACTTTCTTTGCTTTATGGAAATATTTTGGTTCAGCAAAGACTGCTATTCTATAACATTTACCATTGTTTGTATAAAGAACTATTCTGTCAATGTATTTGTATTGTTTGTGTGTGTAAACTTTGTTCTGCTTCAATTCGAAGAGATACTCGAATACGTCCATCTTTTTATTCGAAGTAAAATGTCATTTCCGAAAAATAGAAGCGTGAGTGTTTCAAAAGGTTTAATGGCGGTGGCAGATGTGAAGTTAAATTCACCAACTCAAACAAACAGTCAAAGTGTTGTTGTCAATGTCAAAGAAAGAGATGTTGAAGTGGGGAAACCATACGAAGACGAAGATGGTATAACAATAGTTCCTGTAAAAGAACAACCAACATATCCTGAAGTTAGCAGAGACTTAAGTTCTGTTGCAGATATTCGAAACGACTACCAACAACTTAAAGACAAACTTAAAACTCAGGAGAAGATTTGTCAAGCTTTAGGTATAATGTTAAACTTGGTCGAACACAACCCTGTAAAAGTGAACTCATATGTCATCGCACCTCATGAAATTTTGAAAGAACTATTGAAACTTTTGACAGAGGCAGACGATATAAACATCAAAGAAATAGAACCCGACATTGCTTGCTGTGGTGTTTCATATAATGTCATTGACAAGATATACGTTATGAAAGGAGGTGAGACGTTGAACTTAAAATATAGTTTCCCAGACGTTATAAAAATATTTGACGACCACAACATTTCATTAAAATTTATTTGCTAAGTAAATGGCAGAAGACATAATGGTTTATACTATTACGACTAAAAACCCTGAGTCATATAATTCTATAACAACAAACTTACAAAGTCCTCAAGGACGATATTGTAAACTAACCTTAAACACAATGACGACTAAAGCTTGTTTTGCTCTTTTGACACCAGAAGATTTTATTGTTGTGAATGGTAAAAAATACTCCTTTGAAGATACTTACTCAGATATACCACCAACAGGTTTTGTTGACTTATTTAATACTTTAAGGACGGATGTAACATGTGCTGCAACTAGAGCAGGTTTCATTATGTTTGGATGTCCGACTGAGTTTAGTATAAACGATATGAGCTATAATACAAAACTTATATCTGGTTTTTACTACCAACAGTTTCCTATAACAGGAAAAGGTGTCATACAAGGTTTGTCTGTTCCATTGACTTTAAGTACACCTATTTTATATATTGTTTCAAACTTAGGTTCAAAGTGTTATTCGAATGTCGACAGAAACTACTATGACCAAAAGATACTTATGCGTATAAACAATACTTTCTCTGCTGGTTTGCCTATTGTTCATTCGAATGCAGAATTTTCAACCTTAGTGAACTCAAACACATTGGCAAGTATAACGTTGACATTAGTTGACGCAAACTTTGTTCCTGTAAAACTTTTATGTCCTATGTATTTGTCAATGACGGCAGAAAGTTTCGAATTGGAAGATGCAACCGGTGAAAGTATTGTATTACAAGAACAACTTCAACAACAAATAGCTCAAGAACAACAAATGCAACAAATAGCTCAAGAATAAAAAAAAATATTTTTTTTATTTTTATAAAAATGTACAGAATAGATGTTTCAGATTTTTATGACTTCCAAGCATTCAGAAATATGTGTCCATTTCGAGACTATAACAAAGCAGTCGAGAATTTGAAACGTTTAGTCATTTATGTTGACTCTGCCCCAGAATGTTATGTCATGAAAGAATGGGATGTTGTCTTTAACAAACCAAGAGCAACCATAGTTTCAGAACAAGAATGTAGACAGAAACTTAAGAAAATAAAAGTCGTACAAGTTGGTATGAAGATGTTAGATGCTTGGGATATCTTATTGTCAAAGTTAGAAGATTTTTCAGTTCGTGGTATAAAGTTCTATACACCATCTCCAAAATTCTATTCTATCTTCACTGGATATAAATATGAACAAGTAGAATGGAAAGAAAATGTTATAGAAGCTTGGTTAGACCATGTCAAAGAAATTATATGCAATGGAAACGAAAAGGTTTATGAGTATATCTTATGTTGGTTTGCAAACATCTTACAACATCCAAGTGCTAAAAATGAAACTGCTCTCATTATAATTGGAAAACAAGGAACTGGTAAGAACACTTTCTTTACAGATATTTTGTGCAAACTGTTAGAGGGCTATTCGAACCCTAATATGACAAACTTAGAAAACATCTGCGGTAAATTTAACTCTTCAATAGAGAATATGAAACTTATAGTATGTAACGAACTTCAAAGTATAGATACAACAAAAGTTTTGAACTCGGATGCTTTGAAGAGTCTTATAACAGACAAAGTTGGAGTTGTTGAAAGAAAATATAAAGACCAAAGAGTTTGTGAAAATGTTGCAAATTTCATTATGGTTTCAAACAACGCCGTTCCGATGAAGTTAGAAAGTTCTGACAGAAGATATGTAGTTGTCAGAACGTCAGATTCTCATATGCAAGATACAGAATATTTTGACGACTTAGCAGAAACTTTGACACCTAACTTTTACAACCACTTGTTCTCATATTTCATGACATTAGATATTTCTAAGTTCAATCCAAGACAAATTCCATATACCGAAGAGAGACAAACATTGTTAGAAGCAAACAAGAGTGTATATGAACTGTTTATAGATGAGACTAACTTTGAGTGTTTAGATGAAAGGTCATTGTACGATTCATATAAACAGTATTGTCAAGAGTATGGTTATATGGCAGCGTCTAAACGAACATTCTTGGCAAATGTCAAAAATCTTTTAGACATACAGAACGGCGTATATACAAAGAAAAATTTTTCTGAGTAAATTTAAAAAAAATATTTTTTTATTTTATTTGAAATGTACGCTGAGTTTGTTGGAGAAGACTGTTGGAAAACTTGTTTGTTAGATGAGAAATATGAAATTCACTGTTGTGAGTCATTTGAAGTCAGAAACAAAGAGACAAAAAGAGTTTTAAGCGAATGGGAGCAAAATAACGGATATGCTAGGATGAGTATGAGTGGAAAAAACTATTTTAAACATGTTGTCATTGCAACTCATTTTATACCGAACCCTAACAATTTACCTTTTGTAGACCATATAAACCATATAAGAAACGACAATAGACTTGAAAACTTGCGTTGGGTCACTCGTTCTGAAAACAATAAGAACAAAGGCAAATTTGGAGACATTATATTCGAATTTGTCGACGAACTAGAAGATGAAACAATTGAAATTACAGACTATGGCAAGCATACGTTTGAGTTTTACTACTATAGCGAAGAACAGGACTCTTTCTACTTTTATACCGGCGTAAACTATAGGAAATTACAAGTATATTTTACTAAGGAAGGCTATGCTCATGTAAACGCTAGAGATACAGATGGAAAATACGTTCAAATACATCTTAACAAATTCAAGAAGCTATATGGCATACCATTTTAAAACGTTTTTTAAAAAAAAATATTTTTTTATCCGATAGAAAAGATGATGAAATTCATCTCAGTAAACAAGTACATGACAGAAGTCAAAGAAGAACTAGACCCATTCATATATTTGAATGTTTACTTCTACCATTTTGAAAAGTCTTCATTTGACAAAGTTTGGAACATCGAACCAGTTAAGTTTGCTATTGTGACTAAAAATGGTGCGAAATTTGAAGACTTAGACATAGAAGGTTTGTTAACAGTCAAAGAAAGTTTTGACAGAAGGTTCTCAAACCTTAAAGAAGGCAAAGCATACAAACTTGTTATACCTTATGAACCAAAGAAAGCAGACGACTATGAATATTATGAGTCTAAGATAGTTGAAGTTCAAGGTAAATTGGGTAAAAAGATTTTAGAGTCTAAGCCAGTGTTTGCTCCTAAAGAGGAAGAGAACATTGACATTGACCCAGAAATGTTCTAAAAATAAAATTTTATTTTTACATGTCATATCTCACCTTCTCTGGAACTGGTTCAGGTTCTTTCTTCTCTTCTACTTTCTTTTCTTCTACTTTCTTTTCTTTCTTCTCTCTCTTCTTCTTCTTTTCTGGTGGAGTTATGTCAAATTTCTCAGAACCATATTTATGTAAAAGTTCTTTGTCCTTTAATAGCTCTTCTATTCTGTTTCCTATTTCATCTTCAAGAACAGCGCATGTGTCTTCTTTGCATTCTAAGAACTTTTGTTGGACTTCATCTTTCCAATCGGTGTCATCTCTGTCAACAAGTCTGTCATTGACAAACTTAAAGACTTCTCTGCCTAATGTTTTATGGTTCTTGTCATATTCCCAGAAACAGAACTTTAGAACAAATTCACCTTTCTTGTTTACACTATGTAAGATTTTATGGTCGACAGATGTTTTGCTGTCAAAAAGCTTGTCTCGAATATAGATAGCGAAATCGCTAGACATTTTCAAAAAGATAAAAATTTTAATTTTTCTAAAAATATGTTAGAAAAAAAGTTTGCTGACATTGACAAGAAATTTGAGAATGTTTTGAAGAAGAACAAGAAGAAATTAGAAAATGCTCAGATAAAGCCTATACATGACAAGTTCTTATTTGCTCAGAATGGTATAACAGGTCTAATTGCACCACCTGGGTCGGGTAAGACTTTCACTTATCTTAAAATGGCTGCACAACAACAAGAACTAGATGAGAAGAACCCATTCTATGAGTTAGTTGTTATTTGTAGTACTTCTGGTCAATTTGACCAAACCGTCAATTCGTTCAAAGATATTATAAAAAAGTCAAAACTAGTATGTATAAAAGACTCTGAGTTGTTGGATTGGATAAAGAAGTACCAAAGAAGAGTTTTGAAGTACAATGCTATAAATGAGTATGTCAATTCTAAGTTTAAAGACCCAAATGAGGAAATGCAGAGAATATTAGAGAAGAAACACTTCAGAAACAAACAGAAAGAGATAGAATACATTTCGAAGAAATTGCAATCTTACGATTGGAAAACGTACCCTCACAGATGTCTTCTTATCTTAGATGATTTCGCCTCTCATCCTTTGTTAAAGAACAGAGAACAAGACATGTGTCGAATTCTTAAGAAGCTCAGACACTTTAACATCTCTGTTGTCATTTGTGTACAGACAGCAAAGAGTTTAAGTAAGGATGTTAAAAGAATACTTACTGATATCATACTTTTCCCTGGATTGTCCGAAGACGATTTCATGGAACTTATGAAAGAGTCCATGGCAGGTAAGTTTGACAGACATGAACTATGGGAGAAGTACAAAGTCATACAAGACCCTCATACTTCTTTCAGAATTCACATCTACGCGAACAAAGTTCAAATTGTAAAAAGTCAAGCTTGAAAAATAAAGAGTTTGAGTCTTAGTCTGTTGTGGTGCTGGGGCTGTCGGTTCTTCTGGCTTTGGAATGGACTCGGTTGGTGGTACGTCGGACATTCGTTTGTGTCCTGTCGGAAGGAAGAACTTTTCCAGTTGTCGGGAAAATTTTTTCCTGTCTGATGGAAAATTTTTTCCTGTCTGATGGAAAATTTTTTCCTGTCTGATGGAAAATTTTTTCCTGTCTGATGGAAAATTTTTTCCTGTCTTATGGAAAATTTTTTCCTGTCTTATGGAAAATTTTTTCCTGTCTGATGGAAAATTTTTTCCTGTCTGATGGAAAATTTTTTCCTGTCTGATGGAAAATTTTTTCCTGTCTGATGGAAAATTTTTTCCTGTCTGATGGAAGAGTTCTTCCTGTCTGATGGAAAATTTTTTCCTGTCTGATGGAAGAGTTCTTCCTGTCGGATGGAAAAATTTTTCCTGTCGGAAGGAAAAACTTTTTCTGAAGTTCGACCAAAAAGTTCTCAATTTTCGAAAATTTGAATGGTTTACGGACGGACAACTGGAAGAGTTCTTCCTGTCGGAAGGAAAAATTTTTCCTGTCGGAAGGAAAATATTTTCCTGTCGGATGGAAGAGTTCTTCCTGTCGGAAGGAAAAATTTTTCCAGTTGTCGGGAAAATATTTTCCTGTCTGATGGAAAATTTTTTCCTGTCTGATGGAAAATTTTTTCCTGTCTGATGGAAAATTTTTTCCTGTCTGATGGAAAATTTTTTCCTGTCTTATGGAAAATTTTTTCCTGTCTTATGGAAAATTTTTTCCTGTCTTATGGAAAATTTTTTCCTGTCTGATGGAAAAATTTTTCCTGTTGGAAGGAAGAGTTCTTCCTGTCGGAAGGAAGAACTTGGAATGCCAGAAGGATTTGACAAGACAATTTACCTAATTTACCTACATGAGCCATCTTTGGTGTCAAGCTTGAAAAATAAATGGTTCATTTACTCTGCTTGTTTGAAGTTGTCAAAATACTCTGTATTTTTTTCCTTTCAGTAGCAAGTCTTCTTTGAAGGTAAGTATTGTACAACCTTTCATATCATAGTGTGTTTGAGGTAAAGTATCTTGAACTATTTGTTTCACATCTTCATTTGGGTCATTGAAATCGGTAAGTTTTCGCGATAGAACCAATTTCTGTCAGATTTGTAAATCTTAGCAAGGTCGTAAAAGCTTTTGTTGTTTCTTCTGACTAAATGCAACATAACCATATCTCTGTCTTCTTCATTTTCCATCTCTTCAGTATAAATCATATACTTATAGTTCTTTTCCTTTCCTTTTGGTACCGAACGTGGTATTCTTTTCTGAATGCTTTTGTCTTTTGCTTCAATGACTTCATCTTTTGCTTGAAGTTTCTTTTCCATCTCTTCACGTTCTTGTCTATGAATTTCATCTAACATCATGAAAATATAACAAGCGTAACGAGGTGAAGCCCACATTGCTACAGCATTTACAAGAAGTCTATGTACATACCAGCCTCTCAAACCAGGAGCCAAATTCTTGCGATTTTCGTACGGAATCTCTACCCTCGGTTTTCCGAGGGTAGCAAACATATGAGGAAATTCTTCTAAAAGTTCTTTTGTCTGTTGGTTTTCAAACCAATGATATGCTTGCTTTGTAGAACGAAGAGCATTCAAAATACTTTGCATTTGGTACATGTCATCTTTGACCGAACGAATGAGACGTAACTGTTTGTTAAACTGTATGTACTCATATTCTTCATTTATATCTTCATGGACTATAACTGTTGTTGTGTTCTCTGTTGTTGACATATCTGTCTTTACATACAAAATAAAAAATAAAAAAAATAAAATTAACTTTATTTTTTCTATCTTAAGGAAATTCATGATTTTCATAGAGTTTTGGCGAGTAGGGAAAAAGTCGGTCTAGAGAAATTTCACTGTTTTCATAGAGTTTTGGCGACTGGGGTTTCTTCCCTACTCGCTGTGCTTCACTGTTTTCGTACGGAATCTCTTCTCTCGGTTTTACATGGTAAGCAATCTTATGCCATTTTACTCAGATTTTTGTGCTGAATTCAATAAAAATATAATTTAGGGTAGATGGGTATATCTACCCTCTTTTCTACCCTCTTTTCTACCCCAGTTATTTTATAAACGTTTTACATGGTAAACGTTATTTTTACATGTATTTTTCAGCAACTTCGTCAAATAATTTTATAGCTTTATCTATCTCATCTACTTCAAACGTTTCTTTACCTTTTATGGGAGCACCATACATTTTCTCAAACTTTTCAAGTAGTTCTGTTTCTGCAGCTCTCATATCATTAACAAACACAACCTTGACTCTATTGACTGTACTGTCATATCTTTGAGTTATATTATATGTTCTTCCTATCTTATATCTTTTTGTATTGAAGTCCTGCGGTTTCTGAACGATGTAAAGTAAGCCTTCACTGCAACGTTCCGTATCGAATGAACCATATGTTATGAAGTTATATCCAACAACTGGGTCTAACCATAACAAAACTATTGGTATAAGACTTTTGTCTATAAGATATGCTGCAGTTCCATAGAATTTTACCGATATCATAAGCTCAGGATTTCTTGTCAAAATTTTCTGAGTTGAAGCATTTCTAACCCAGTCCTTTGCTCTCTTTTCAAATGGAGATAAAATGTCTGACAAAGAATATTTGTTGTATTTCTTTGAGTATCTTACGTTTAAATCACCAATTCTAACCAATTTAGTGTTATTGTCTATCTTTTTAACTGTTTCAAACTCAGTGTTTGTCATTTCCTGTTCTTACATACAAAATAAAAAAAATATTTTAAAAAAAAACTAACTTTATTTTATTTTTTCTATCTTAAGGAAATTCATGAAATTTGGTCATTTTACTCAGAATTCAATAAAATATATTTTAGGCGACCAGGTCACTCGGTTAAATGAACTTCTCTGAAAAAGTGTGACAACATGACATTTTGACAACAACACAGGAAATATACTTCTTCGTAAATGTTTTGTCAAGACTTCATCGTAATGAGCGTAAATCAGACAAAAATATATTTTAGGGTAGAAGGGTATATCTACCCCGTTTTCTACCCTCATTTCTACCCCATATGTCCTTACTGAAAAAGTATGTGTTCCATATGTCATTTTACTCAGAATTTTGTGCTGAATTCAGCAAAAATATATTTTAGGGTAGAAGGGTATATCTACCCCGTTTTCTACCCTCATTTCTACCATAAAGTTTTACAAGCGTTTTACATGGTATATGTTGTGATGGTTCATGACTTTAAACAGTTTTGTAGCTTCTATTTCTTCACGAAGGATATCAAAAATTTTAACTATGCCGAAGGTTTCTTTATATTTCTTCTTGACATCTGAAAGAAGGAAATCGTTAGCAGTTGGATAGTTTTTGTTCAGAAATGTCAACATGTCCATTTTATCTTCTGCTGGTTTCTCTACTTCTTTCTTTAAGTCAGTATGGTCTTTTCTCATTCTTTCTATCTCTTTGACGGAGTAGTTATATTTCCTCATTGCTGCTTTACATTTAGAACATTGTGAGTTCATTTTTGCGTTATATTCTGAAATTTGTCCTGCTAGTATGACTAAGGCGTAGATGGTTTTCTTTAACTCAAAGGTTGCTGGTTTTATCTGTTGGTTCCATACCTTACCTCTTCTATCTTTATCTCTTATCTGCAAGACACACTCAGCAACTAACGAAACAAAGTTGTCGTAGGTCTTAAATTCTTCAGATTTATATATGTCAATGACTTTGTGGTTGCAATGAAATCCAAGAAACTCATAGTTTACCTTTCGTATGAACTTCTTTATTTCTACTGAGTCAGTCAGTCTGACTTCAATTTCATCGAATTCTGGAATAGTGAGTTTTTGTTGTATTTCAGGAAGTTTAGGCAAATGGTCTATAATATCTTGCATTTCATAAAGATACTGTTCATTTGTTTCATCTTTTGCACTACAGTCTAAATCTCCTTGGAGAAGTTCTTGCTTTATCTTCTGGATTTCTGTTTCGAAAGTATATGAAGAAGGAATGAAGCTTTTCATCTCTACTAACATTGAAGTTGGGTTCATGACTAACGAGTTTGGTGCTGTTGTTGCAAACATGTTCTTACAATAAAAATAAAAAATATTTTTTGGTGGGACTACCTTTATTTTATTTCAGCACAAAATGAACGAGTTTGGTTTAAAAATACGGTGGAGCCAAAAATGGCTCGACCTCAAAAACAAGCATTTTGTGAAGAATATACCAACCCGCTGTTTTCCGCGGGTTGCTTTTTTTATACAAAGTTCAAGAGTTTTGTGTGTTTTCTACGAGGGTAGAAATGAGGGTAGAAATGAGGGTAGATATACCCTTCTACCCTAAAATATATTTTTTGGTGGTACGTCGGACATTGTTCTGAAACAGTACAAGTCTTGTTCTGAAACAGTACAAATATTGTTCTGAAACAGTACAAATATTGTTCTGAAACAGTACAAATATTGTTCTGAAACAGTACAAATATTGTTCTGAAACAGTACAAATATTGTTCTGAAACAGAAAATTTTTCTCTCAAATTGAGAGCTTTTACGGGAAATTTGTTCTGAAAAAGTACAAGACTAGTTCTGAAAAAGTACAAGACTAGTTCTGAAAAAGTACAAGACTAGTTCTGAAACAGAACAAGACTAGTTCTGAAACAGAACAATGGACAGCATCGAGCCATTAGATGAGGCAATTTACCTTATAGAGATAAATGAAGTTGTTAAGCAGTATTTGGGCAAGGACAAAGCCAACAAGTCCCTCGGCGTCTGGTTGTCTGGAAGAGGTGCGCTGAAAATCGAGATTTCGACTGGAATTCCAATTCAAATACCAGAAAACACTCCTGTAGACGACATAAAGGAGATGAAGAAAGAAGCTCTTCTCAAGTTCTTTGCAAAGCGCCCATGGATACAACTTCCAAACAGAGAGAGTCCAATTCCACGAATTATACAAATTCTCAGAGCACTGTTCCACTTCTCTGGTCAGCCGTTCTACATAACCTGTGAAGGCGACATCCAACCAGTTCAGTAAACATCTCATTTTAACTAACTTTTTTGCTGTCTTAAGGAAATTCATGAAAATTCAACGGGTAGAAATGAGGGTAGAAAACGGGGTAGATATACCCTTCTACCCTAAAATATATTTTTCAGTGCTTTTTCAGCACTTTTCCGTAGTTGTATATGAAAGACAATTCGAGATAAAATTTCTTCATCTGAAATAGTCCTACCAGTATTTGTAAAGATATAGTCTAACGGTTTTGTATCTGCTACTTTTGTTCTTTGTTTTTCAACCTGAAACATTTAATATATGTAAAAATATACTGTTTTAAAAAATGTTTTAAAATGGTATGCAATGTTTTACTTCATGCAATGTTTTATTTCATGCAATGTTTTATTTCTGTGCCGTCTTCAAGCACACCCCAGTACTTACGCTTGGAGAGGACATGAACTTCGGAAAATACCTTATCTAGCTTAAAACAGCCCATCTTCTCACCGACTAAACCCATTTCAATGAGTTTGTTATACCCTTCTTCGTTCGTCATGAGTGCGTCAATGTTCTCATAGTAAACCACAACTTTGGATTTGACTTCGGAGAAGAATTTGTTGTAGTTGTCAAGGACTGCTTTTGCGAACTGAGGGTAAGACCAATGTTCGACAATAGGTTTTAATGTGGTTACTAAGCCACTTTGACCTTGAGTGAATTCGTACTTCAAAACAAAAGGAGAAAACCTTTCAACAAAGTTGTCGACCTTCTCATAATGTTTACTCTTCATCTCTTGAGGTTTCTTTATGGAATACCCCCATGTCGAATTCATAAGCAATTTTAATGTCATTGCAAGTTTGGGGTTTGAAGCTTTCCTAATATCATATAGTTGTTGTATGACTTTTCCAACTGTATAGTTCCTTCCTGGGAACTCACCGTCTTCGTTTGGAATTCCAGTTGGAATATATTGGACGAACCTCATGTACGCAGCGTTAAGGTCGACATAGTATATCTTTTCATCTGAGTCAAACTTGTCGCAACCAATGGGTCCAGTTCGTGGAAATTCAAGTGAGTCTCTTATCTTTTGAGAAACTTCTCCTGTTATCTCATAAACATCGTCGAAGCAACCTGTTTCATATAAAACCTTCTGACCTAACTCAGATGCTCTCCAATACAATTTGACGTCGATTGGATGCCTCAATGGAAGTTTGTTTATAGCATCTTGAAGTTCTTGCAACCTCATTGGAAGTTCTTCTGGTTCAGGTTGGTATCCGAACAATCCAACTCCTTTTGGAACTGTGTACTTCTTTTGTACTAGAACTTTGTCTGGAACAACTTTTGGTCTTGCTAACATGAAAAGTTTGTTTCGTCTTTTGGTACAAAACTTTCTGTCAGCTTGTCATCTGGAATTGGTTCCAACAAACCTTTCTCGAAAAGAATGTTTACAGCTCTGACAATGTTGCACTTGCCTTTTCCGAACAATGGGTTTGTAAGACTTTCGTTCAACATGAAGTGGTTGTGGACAATTACAATCTTCAACCATGGTAAGTCTTTGTCAACAACATAGTCGTCATGTGAAGAACCTTTCTCAGTCGGAATGTTGACTCGGATATTGACATTTGCCAACGGTGCAATTTTTGCCAATTGACCTCTGAGCATGTACCTTGTCTTCACACATGACTCAAGATACTTCATTTTCTCTTCTGAAACAAGACCAGAGTTCCTGAGACATGTAAGAATACAAGGTTCATTGACAATTGTTTCAATTGAATTGTAAATTCCATACCTTGTCAAGTCAATGTCAGACTTATTTATGAACGGGAAGTATCCAGCATGTTGTCTGACTGCTTGAGGGTTAGGTTGGTACCATTCGAACTTGACACTTGCAATTCCTTCAATTGCATTCAAAATGTCTGAGTCGGAGTCAACATTTGTTCTCTCTTTGTAGTCTTGAAAGCGTCAAGAAGCATTGCAGCTGTTGTGACATTGCCATGTGCATAGTAAATGTGACCGTCCAAATCTGTTACGGTTAGTCTGAGATTGTATCCTTTCTTATTTCCGTCTTGTATGGCAGCAAGTACACCCATGAAGCCTTCTTTGTTCTTTCCTTCGTCAAAGTTTACTGTAAAGGTTCGACCAGATGTAATTTGACTTCTAACTTCACGGTACTTTTCATATGCATATCTTGTTCTTTCCATGGGAGCATGTGAGTCTTCACCTTTTCCTTTTTTCCTTCTCAAAGGATGCAATTGTTCGTCATGTTTCCAGTAGAATCTGGCAAAGCCGTCGTGTCCTTCAACTTGAGGTTCACTAACATTGAAAGGCAAGTTCATAAGACGTTCTTCTTCTAACCTCTCTAATCTGTTTGGATAGTTTGCGCGTGCTGTTTCTAAGTCCATTTCGTAGGTCAGACCAGCCAGTTTGTCATAGACTTTTATGGGTCTTCCCTTCCTATATTTAAACTTCTTCGAAACTCTCCAGCCATATCTTTCTAACTCTGCTTTTATTCTAGCAGATTTTCTATCCATTCTATACGGGGGCATTTTTATAAAAATAAAAAAATGTTTTTTCCTTTACTTAACATAACCTCCTGCTACCAGAAGTCTTTGACGCCAACCCATACCAGCTAATGAAGGTTGACTTGGTTTAGTTTGGAAACTAAACTTTGGTTTTGGTTTATCTTCAGTTTTTGGTTTCTCTTCTTCTATCGGTTTTTCGTCACTTTTCGGTTCCTCTGACTTTACCTCACCTGCAGGAACAGTTGTGTCGTCAACATCTTCATAAATATCATATGCCATTTGTTTTTGTTTTCCTTTCAACTTTTTGTGTTTGTTGTAAAGTTTAGAATATTTCGACTCTAAGTCAATGAGATGTTCTATAATGAACTGTTGGTCAGTGAAGTAAACTTTTCCATCTGTTGTCTCGAAAGCTCCTTCAGACTTCAATATTTTATTTGTGAGAGTCTGTTTCTTTTTTGAGATACTTGCCGTTCCATTTCTATGAAAAGTGACTTTGTAGTTAGGGTTTGTATTTCCAGACCTGGCACTTTCTATTATTGAATTTTTCTCTTCATCTGTAAGTTCTTTGACAGGTTTTGACAATGGTTCTGAACTTTTTGTTTGTGGTGTCAAATCTACCGTTTCAACTTCTTCGGTCATTTCATCTCAGTAAAAATTTTAGTTTGTTTTGTTTTCAACTGGTTGTTTAGGTTTTTTAAGTCGGTCTAAAACTTCCTGAGGTATAGGAAGAACTTGACAAACACGTGGTTGTGTAACTGCTGGAAGCCGACAAATCCATCTTGAACCCATTTGTCTCAATGCTGTATTGTTCATTTCATCTCAGTAAAAAACTTTACATTCCCCACGTTTGAGGCGGTTGAGGTTGGTTATTGTTTACCCATTGTTGTGCATGGTTATATCCTCTGTTAAAGAATCTTTCACCTTGGTCCATATAGTGTCCTGCTTGGTTATAGTAGTCATTTGCTTTGTTATAATAGTTTCCTGCTTGTCTTCCTACATTGTCCATCCATCCTTGAACTTTTCCTCTTGTTTCAGGATTTGGAATAAGATTTGCTGCATCTCGTGCTACATCCCAACCTTTCTGTACAGTTTGTATAATAGGTTGTGCTTTCTCTTTCAGTATACCTAATGTACTCAAAATCTTCCTTCCAACTCCAAATACACCTCTGGCTATT